TCAGTATGAATGATATCAACCCGACTAAACTCAGACATTACAATCCTCCGGTGTCAACCCTACAGACTCTGCCCTCATTAATTGCTCCAAAATAGCAAAACATCCCAAAGACGTCCAGATGGCTTTTCCTGAATTCATCTTTGACATACCACACGCACTCGTGCGACATGTGTCGCTGGAATGAATCGAGGCATCACCGCTCACTGGGCGTGAGGTCAACCTGGGTTGTGTCTAGTAGCCGGCGGGTGATAGTTCCATATGCAGAGCGTGAGATTGAGAGTTGAGAGGGTAGGGCTTGACTTGCTTTGCGAAGAGCTCGAGCTCGGTATTCGCATGCTCTTTTGTCTCTCATACACAGACAACAGGATGGGTCGGTTTCGTTGCATTTATTGTGCAGATTTTATTTGCGACTAGCTATTAGCTGCAGTTCCACAGCTCGCTCAGTTTGATGCTTCTGCTTGTGGATGGTGTGTAGGGCTGATTGACAGGGGTTTCAACCCCTATGGCGTCAACATCTATCTTGCTGATCTTACCCAGTAAGACTCAATAAATCCAATAGCATAGTCTATAGGTGGTTATAAGTGGTTATCTAGAGCATCAATTTCGAGTTGGTACTACCTTGTACCATTGGCATCTCAGGCATATAGATCAGACACGTGGTCCGTGCATCGGGGAAAGCTGTCCATTCTCTCCCTTCCACTTCATCATCCTCTCCATTTAATTATATCCATACAATTCAAACGATTAATTATGGCCGACGACGAGGAGCGCATTAAAGCCGAGAAGCTGGCCGCGGCCAAGAAAAGGGTAATTCCTCACGAGTGACAAGATGACGTTGTTTTGGTCGCTAACTAGACTGTTGTTCTTCAGGTTGCCCAGCTTCAGAAGAAAAAGAAGGCTAAGAAGACCCCCGCCACTGACGCGGATACACCCAAGGAGGCAGAGGCCCCAACAGAGACAAAAGTCGCTGAAGATGTCCCGAGCCCAGAGACACCGCAGGCAGACGCCCCCGCGGAGGAGAAGCCAAACATGCAAGATGAGCCGGCCGCACAATCCGAGGCCGCAGCTCCCGAACAGCCAGCGGAATTAGAAGAACCAACTCCAGAAATTGGTACTGATACGAATATCGAGTCTCCTACCGAACCGATGCCTCCAGCGCCCACATCTCCTGATCCGGAGGCTGAGCCGCTGCCAGTCCGGCTCGATACACCCCGCGCCAGCCATGGCCGACAGCCCTCGCTGTCGATCCAGTCAAAGATGCGCTCATCTTCATTCCGCAAGACCTCCGTCTCCCAGGGCAGCGTCTCCCCCTCTCCGTCTGCTACAAACAAGTCCCCCGCACAATCATTACCGCCCCTAACCGGGGACGGGGAGTCGGTCCACGAAGTGTTCCGCAAACAGTCTACTAAGATTGAGGAGCTTGAGAAAGATAATAAACGCTTGGAGAAGGAGCTCTCGGATGCAACTATGCGCTGGCGCAAGACTGAGGAGCAAGTGGAGGATCTGCGGGAAGCGAGTGTTGATGGCGTGGAGTTGAGAGAGCAATTGAAGAAGGCAGAGGAGAAGGTTGCAAGCATCGAGTCGTTGGTATGAAACCTTGTTTCCTGTGATGGTTATATTTACTAACCTGTGGAACAGAAAGAAGAAATTGCTTCCCTCCAGCGGCAGAACTCACAGCTCCAGACCCGGTCACATCGAAACACAAGTGCAACAGAGTCACCGCCAGCCGACCTTGTTCGTCAACTCGAGTCCAAGTCGGCTACTATTGAGTCTATGGAGCTAGAGATCTCAAATCTTCGCGCCCAAGTCACCTCCCAAACGTCCTCTAACGATGCGCACGAGTCTCAGGTCGCAGCGCTAGAGGAGAAGGTTTCAAAGACCCAATCAGCACTAGATCAATCCCAGCGTGAACTGGCAGACATTAAGCAGGCATTGACGCGGGCCACGGAGAAAGCAGTCAAGGAAGGCGTCGATAAGACATCTACCGAAACGCTGATCAAGAATCTCCAGCGTGAGATCGAGGAGCACAAGAACGAAAAGAGCGAATCGGAAAAGAAAATCGAGACGCTAGACAAGAAACTCCAGGCAATCGGCAATCTTCACAAAGAAACTGAAGCCCGACACCAAACACGGTTACGCGAGAGCGAGAAATCCGACAAAGAAATCGCTGTCATGCGGAAAAAGATCGCCAGCATCGAAAACGAGAACCTCCGTCTACGCGAAGAGAGTGATCGGATTCGGACTCGCCAGACCACCGGAGGCGCCGACGATGACGCCCTGGACGAGCTTGAGGACGAAGAACGCCAGCGCCTTGAGCGCCGAATCCGCGAGCTGGAAGGGGAGGTCTTCGATCTGCGCCGCGGTGTCTGGCAAGAGAAGCGCCAGGAGATGGAGTACTACCCGGATGACGGACCTAGCCCTGCCTCCGGCGACGCGGCCAATGCATTCGACGACGTCGACCTCGTCGGCGGACGACCCGACCACGCCCGTCGCCGCAGCATGGCCCAGCAGCAGCAGCACTCCTCCTTTTCCACTGTGCTTTCTAGCGGCTTTGCTGCCTTCACAGGAGCTGCTGGCAACCGCGCTCGCGCTTCATCGTCTAACCCGTCTCACCCCCCTGGTACCCGTGGTAGTCTCGAACTTGTTTCCGAAGAAAACTTTGATGACGAGTTCGATGAAGATGCATTCGCGCGTGCGCAGGCCGAGGAAGAAGGCCGCAAGCGTGTTGAGTGGATGCGTGATATCAAGAGCAAGCTGCGTGACTGGAACGGCTGGCGTCTGGATCTGGTCGACAGCCGTGCCGGCGCAGAAGGTGCTGGCGTAGGCATGGGTGAGATATTTGAGGTTTAGCCTTTGTTTACTTTACTTTACATCATATGTGCGGGATGTACGATCATTTACTATATACCACGAGGTCGAACTCAACTTTACCTGGGAGTTGACCAATGAACTTTGAATGCAAAGAGTGAACTCCTGATGCAATTGACGTAGGATATTTGATGGGGGAAAACCGATATAATAAGACACAGACAACATTCGAACTGAAAACCAAAATAATCCTAATCCATCTTAATCCATAGAAGGCTTGCCCGTCAAATAACCCTCAGACGACCGATTCTTTCTCCGTCCCCAGATGTCGCCAGCCCAACTAGTAATCTGATAAAGCCAGCCACCAGTAACAAGCACACCTGAGATGGTGTTAATAACCCGAACTACCAGCGACAAAAAGCTCGCTCTCTCCTCGCTGACCAGCAACAGGATCGGCTCAATGTTATACTTAAAGAAAATGCCCGGGACAACCAACGGCGACTCAGGGATCACGCTAGATTGACTCGTTGCCGCGTACTGGTTCGTGAAGACCGTGTTACGCCCGTACCGCGCAGACGCAGCCTCCGGCGAGCGCGTGTACGCGTCCAGCGCACCCTTTCCTCGACTGTACAGCGTCGGTACAATGGAGAGGAAGTACTGGAACTTGTAGAAATGATCCTCGATCTCAGCGATAGTCTTGTCAAGCGGGTTCTGCAGGGTTGGGTAATGCGGCCCGAAGGAGAGCTCCGTGATCATGTGGGAGAAGTTGAAGGCTGGGAACTGTTAGCGATCTCGTCCAGGATGTGAATTGGGGAGGTAGAGAACACATACACGAGTGATCCAGATGCGGCGCGTTCTCGGCATACCCATGGCCGCGCGCGGTGATTTGGAAGGTACCCTGCACTTTGTTTCCCTCAAGGCTTCCGTAGATGCGACACGCGTCCGGGACGACGCCGCGGCGCATGCGCGGGCCCTTGGGGAACTTGCGGCGTGGGTTATGGCGCACCTCGCCGAGGACGTGGCCGACGTGGGCATCGGCCTCTTGCTCGGCGAGACGCTCGGTTTCTTCGTGGGAGAGGGTTTGGTATTCGTGGGCGCCGTCGCTGGTCTCGTAGTTGCGCTTCTCCATCCAGAGGAGCCAGTTTGTGTCGTCGCGTTTGAGGAGCTCGGCAGCTAGGATACGGTCACCGGCTGCGTCTTGGATGTTCACGTGGAGCTGATCGCAGCGCATGTGCACGACCATGTCGAGGTTTAGCTGGAGATCGTGTGAGACGCCCTTTTCAACGCTGAAGTGGTAGTTTTCGGTGCCGCGCCACCAGGTTTTTAACTCGGACCAGCTGAAGATCGTGCATATAATGAGAATTAGGACGGTCCATTGGCCGCCGCTGCGGGTTGGGGTTGTGTAGGCGGGTTTGGTTTTGGCTGGTGAATGTGAGTAGCTTGTCTAGATGCTTGAACTTCGAGGTACTCACGAAAGGCGTCGAAGGTCTTCAGGGCAGCCAAACCAGACTTTTCCCCGAAGGCATCTTCGTCCAGACCCTTAGATTCGAAGCCATTCATCGCGAATCAATTATCCATGAAGGCCAATGGAAGATGTTGTCGGAGAAGTGGAGTAAATACGATAAGATGAGGCCAAGTAGCCCGATTGCCCAGTGGGGACATGCCAGTCCAACGTACGTGTGTATATCGTGTCTTCTTTATATTTTATATTTAGTCTCTCTTTATTTATAGTAGTCCTTTCTTAAAATAAAAATCACATAGTCATTAATTCAGCCATAGAAGCCACTTGACACAACGTTAAATCGCTCTACCCATGAGCAACACATCGTAAACTCTTAAGAAATGCAATGAGAGGTAACAATGTACAAACACAGGGACCAAACATGGCCCTGAATGGGGGTCATCAAATATAAAAACGAAGGGAAATGCATAAGCAAGAGCAAAACGTAAGGTATAAGCGATACTCAGGTCATCATGGGCGCAATGCAAATGCAGAAACAAGGGGGTATAACATGAATGCATCTCAAACAGAATGCTGACATGACAACCACCCGATGCAAGGATGAGAAAGTAAAAAAGGAAAGGATTAGTATTACAGGGCATTCAACAGAAAAGAAAAACAAGAGTGCAAGATCATTTCCTCTGTCAGCTAGTCAGCATCCCATTCTTTGGCCCTGGTTCAGATCGCCGGCCTAACTCACCAGGCTTGTCGCAGCCGCCGCAGTAGCGAGGTCTGGCTTCCCGCTGATACTCCGCGCCGAAACGCGAGGGAGCGCGGACCCAACAGTAGTAGAGTTGCTGGATCCTCGCTTGCTGGGGCTGGACGGAGGACCGTTCACGGTCGAGTGTCGTTTGCCGCTACCCTTGACCGGGGAATTGGCTGAGACATCGCGAGCACGCATGAACCCGCTCTTTGGTGCTGTGCCTGGAGGGTCAGGGAGAGGACGAGCTGTAGACGACACGCCCCGCTTGGAGGGCGAGTTTGATGTATACATTCTGGGCCGGGGGGGTTTGACACCAGTGAGGAACTCGTGTTTCAGGGCGTCATGAGGCGAAATACGACGAGCAGGATCCCAGCGAAGGCAGCGAGTAATGAAGTCAAGGAAGGCTTCATCGTCACATTTCAAAGCCTGTCGGAGCTCCTTGGTGCTTGGACGACGTCGACGTCCCTTGGATGAAACAGTCAAACGCGGCTTGCCGAGAGAATCAAAGAACAACTTCTTGCGTGAGCTCTTCTCAATGAGATGCTTTTCCGGAGGACCAAAAACTTCCATGATACAAGCAAGCTGTTCTTGCTCATTCTCTCCTGGGAAAATGGGATAGCCGGTGAATAGCTCAGCCAAAATGCAACCCAAACTCCACATGTCTATCGGCATGCCGTACGACATTCCGAGGATGACCTCTGGCGAACGGTAGAAGCGACTTTGGATGTAAGTATAGACCTTTTCATTCTCAAAGCAACTTGAACCAAAGTCGATGACTCGAATTTCGGAGTTCAACGGATGAACAAGAAGAATGTTTTCGGGCTTCAAGTCACAGTGAATGACCTTCTTGGCATGCAACAGCACGAGACTGCTCAGCATTTGCTTGGTGAAAACACGGATCAGCTTCAATGAAAAGCCCCGGAATTCATGGGCCTTGATGAATTCATAAAGATTCATGCCAAGGAGTTCGGTTGAAATACACAGATGGCCACGGAAATAGAAGCTTTGGGTAAAGTTGACCACGCTATGCTTGCCATGAGGATCCCATTCCTTCAATTTTTGTAGGAGGTTAACCTCAATCAGGGCTTGTTGGTGGAACCGCTTCTTGTTGCGAATTATTTTAATCGCAACCAGAGCCCCAGTCTTGTGGTCGACGCATCGCACGACCTGGCCAAAACTACCCTTGCCCAAAACATCAACAACTTCGTATCGGTAAGCTAGATGGTCGCCGATGACAATGTTATAATCACCACGGTCATCATCGTACCCAAAGTTTGCTGCACTGGAATGGAGATCTCCAACATGTTTCTTAGCAGTGTGGGTACCGCAGAAGTAAATATCGCGATAATCAATGATCTCACCGCGTTCAAAGATGTTGAGCGTTGCCATCTTCAAGGCCTGGGCCGGACTGACACGATCCTTTGGACCAGCCTTGCGGCGCAAGTCGTCTAGCACACGCGCCGCCTTTTCAAAGTCTTTGCGTTTAGATCCAAGTCGCTTCATCTCTTCATCTGCAATCGCCACATCTGGATCAACAGTGCTGTCGATAGGCCTGGAAGCAGCCGCAACACTAGATCTAGCGTTATTGATCATCTTGTGGACAGGAGAGATGTACGTGCTCTGCACGCGTCTAGAGCGGTCGCTTTCGCCCGACTCATTGGACGGAGTTGGCTCCAGGGCGAGACTTTTCTCGCTGCAGACACTTGGTTTCCGAGTCGTGGGATTGGTTATACTTGAAACAGAAGACTGTCGGCGGGGGTTGAGATACGACGGCTTGGGATTAGGGCTTGTCGAGTTGACCGAAGACAAGTTGTTCCATGTTGCAGAGGCTGGAAGTTTAGGCGGCGGCATATGATTGTACTTGGTTGGGTCAGCATCGACTTCTGCCTTTTGGGGCTTCGAGTTGCTGCGAAGCCGTGCCACCTTAAGCCGGTCCCGAAGAGAGGTGCCGGACGCAGTGACAGTGGCACTCTCAGGATCTGAGGGTGTCGATATCTGGCTGAGCCGTTCTGGGGCTGGAGTGAAAATGGCGCTTTGCGTTTGAGGTCGTGGACCATTCAACTTGTGTGCTTGCGTCCGATTCGAGTAGTCGGCGCTGACCTGGTGGCGGAGATGATTGAGTTCGGCGCCACTCTTGGGCAGCGTGTATGAGGCATAGGGAGATATGCTGCGAGCTGCACTTGGCGTGTCAAATGACTCAAACGCACTGGTACTGCTAGAAGCTCGCAGAGCGGCGGTTGAGGAGCTGACGGCAAAGTGAGAGGTGCTGCTTCGTGCTTGAGTGAGGGGCAATTGGTCCTCTTCATCACGGTACCAGAAATTCGCCTTGGATGCTGTCATCGGAGTACTTGGTGTCTTTGAAATCACTTGGTTGGAGGGGTGTGAGCTTTGCGCTCGTCGTCCCTGTCCTTGAGTGCTTCGATTTTGGCCGCCATGGGTGTGCCCAAAGGCAACAAATTCAACGGGGGCAATTTCAACGGCTGCAAACCCTTTCGTCCTGCTAGAACAGTAGAAGTTCGTGATCGCGAATCGGGAGTTTTTGTTTCAGTAGAGTCAACTTTTTCGACTTGGGCGGTGGTGTGCGCTTCCGAGTCTGAGTCTTTAATGTTCAGAAGGCTCATATCAACAGGAATACTTGATTTTCTGGGCGCGGGGAAAACAGGCGCATCCAGTTCGCCTTTGGGGGACTCGTAGGCCTTGGGGATAGCTGGAACCGGCGGGACCTCTTCCCCGTTAGAGTTTGTCTGCTCTGTGCGTGGCTTAGGCGTCGGGAGTCGGGACGAAGATAGATTTTGGGACAGGCGGTTTTGAAGAGAGCTTCCGGAAGTTCGCGCCGAGTTATAGCTGGTGTTTGAAGAAACAGACAACCCTGAGCTGTACGACTTACGATTTGGGTCAGGCGTGGTTCGGTTCGAGGAAGGTGTGACGCTTTTCCTCGGAATTTGAGAGGGTGATTGTGTTGATGATAGAGGACGGATGGGCATAGGTTCTGTCTGGGTGGGAGGTGTATGTGGCATTGGAGGGGCAGGAGGCGCAATCGACATTCGCTTTAGTCGTCGTGCGTCAGTAGGACTGATCGTTCGAGCACCAAGTCCAGTGGCATGTGGCGGCATAACAGAAGCCCGCTTAGATGCAGAGGAAGGTGTCGCCACGGCGCCAGAAGGGTTTCTTACCGGGGTCCGCACGGCGTTGGTGGAATTCGATCGTGTGTGGTCAACGACCCCAGAGGTAGTGAGAAACTGACCACGGGGTTCCCTTGGGCTGGGCTGGAATGATTTTGCCTTGAGGTTTCGAACAGAAGACGGAACCTTCGCATCAGACTCCGGAAGTCGAGGGCGAAGCAAGTTGCTTGTTGAGGCAGTGTCAGTGCTGATTTTGCGGGCACTTAGACTGGCGCGCCTAGCCGAAGCATTGGTAGGCGCGAATGCCCCAGAGCTGATAGATTTGCGAGGTCCCCTTGAAGCACTTCCAGTAGATGGCTGGGCTATACTCTGGCGGCGAGCGCGGGTATTGGCGGAGGATGCTGTGAGCCCTGTAGCGCCATTCGCACCATTCGTACCATTTGGACGTTGCACTTCACTCTTCCGTCGAGCGGAAGGACCCCGTGTACGTTCCGATACATTGCCCGCATAGGTGTGGTTTTCCCAGGGATTGGTTAGAGGGGCCGTTTCACGATTCTCACCCGAACTGCTGTTCCCAGGCATAGGGAACTGGTTCAAGCTGGGCTCACCCATGATGCTGTTATGGAAATCATCAAAGTTGACTGGCGCCAAAAATTCCACGTTATCCGCATGCTTGGAATCAGCCTTTGACAGGTTGCCCACGCTCGTAGATCGAAGGTTAAAGCTTTTAGTCGAGTCAAGCGTAGAATCAACAGACGAGTTCCCAGAGTGAGGGTATGGGCTAGGTTTACTAGACATCGAGTTAGTTCAAAGCCAATCAAGCCAATCACGAGAGCAGAACTGGACATACCTCCATCGCGAAGTGTCCTGCGGTCGTGGGCCCTGAGGAACCCTTTGGTCACGAATTGAAAGTCTTCTCCTATTCATCCCACCTGCGCGCGGTCCGGCGACCCCATTTGTGGTGTCAAAATTGGTATTGTTCGAGGAAAAGTTGGTCGAGGCTGATTTCTGCAGGCGCCTGCGGGCCGGAGCCTCTGCTGTTTCTTGTTAGTATCCAACTGCACCTTCCCGACATCTTTCACTCTTACCTCCCGAGCCCGAATCATCGTTTGGGGGATTGTATGTTGTTTCGGTCCGCGCTTGGCCCCTCCCCGGTGTTTGGGGCTTTGTCGGCATTGTTTGAGCTCTCGCGCGTTTTCAGAGGAAAGTCGGAAAAGGAGACTGGACCGTGCCAGAGATGCGATCGCAATTGCATTCAGGAGAAGTGCGAGGTCTCAAACCAAGAGATACGAGAGCACCGTCGCGCGACTCTTGCAAACAGCTACCGTTCCATTGCGAGTTGTGAAAGAGCAATGGCCAAGGCAGGTTCTCTTTGACAAATAATTTTGGGGGGAAGTAGGGTTGCTGGGGCAAGTCCACTAAGGCGGTAACAGGGAAAAAGAAGGTAATTTGGGGGGGGCAGGTGGATTTTATAAGTAACCCCGTCAACAAAGGGGATTTTTAGATAAGATCGAAGCTATATGTGAATAATCACAGAGAGAATATATGTATCTTAAAGAAAAACAAGAAGAAAAAAACAAAAAACATACAAGTTAGACAAATGAAGGCCAACCTGCTTTCTTTTTTTAGTGTGAACTATCCAACGTCGAGGTTCCCCCCCCTGATGCAAACAGGATTATGTCAGCTTCTTTCCCCGTTCCAGATCGGCAAAGCACATGCTTGGGTTCTGACAGTTAGAATTCCAGTTTCTCTTTACACTTCATTTCTTCTTCATTTAAGATCCCATGTCTAATCATGGATGGGTTTACAGAAGCTCTGAACGAAGAACCCAAGGTTCCAAGAAAACGGAATAGACCTGGTTCGCCAGACAGTTCGCATTCGAGATCTTCCTCTCTATCCAAGAACTCACTACAAGACCGCCTATTTACAAAGTATGTTTGGAATGGATTTCTTTCTGGATAGATCTCCAATATATCTGTGGGGAGTTATAATAGCTGATGACTGCAGGCTTCTCCAACAAGTCATTCCAACAGATGATGAGGATGAAACCGATTCATTGGGAGACAAGGCCTTGGCCTCTCCTCAGAAACCGGCTTTCAGTTTGCCTGTAATGGCAAATAATTTCCGCCGCTTTAATGCAAGGTAGGGCTGAACCATCTCATGTGATATCCATGGATCAACTCAAACTGAAACCACTATAGAATCGGTGTGGTATTTCTGTTCCAAAGTCGTCTTGAGCAACTATTCACTTGGGACACACCAACCCATACCATCTCTTTCCTTTTTGTCTATTCTTTCATATGTCTAGAACCTCATCTACTTTTGGTCTTGCCCCTAGTGGTTCTCTTGCTCTTTATAATGGTGCCGGCCTTTGCAACTCGTCACCCACCACCCCCAAGCACCTCGACATCCAGCACTACTCCTTACTACTCCTATGATGGACCAGCCCTGGCACCAGCCACGACTATTAAACCAGCCCCAGAGACTTCCAAAGATTTCCTTCGGAACATGCGAGATCTACAGAATTGCATGGCTGATTTCTCAGATGCCCATGATGCGGCTATCTCTGTGGTTGCGCCGCTGACGAATTTCTCCAATGAGAAGCTCTCTTCAACCCTATTTCTCGGATGCACAATTGCAATAGTAGTATTGTTTATCAGCGCGCATCTGCTGCCCCTCAAAATTGTGATGCTTGTTGGCGGCAATGCGCTGGTTCTCTCCATCCACCCAACGGTGGGGCAATTCATCTCCGGTCTGATGCAAGATATGACTGGGGATTCCGTTGACATAGATTCAGATGAGAAAGATGGGTTCGCCTCATCGGTCCCTGCAGACCCATCTGCAGCAATGTCAGCAATGGAAAAGCTCGCAGATATTTCCTTGGACACATATCCCGAAGAGCGGGAGGTGGAAATTTTTGAGCTGCAGCACCGGGCCGCAGGAACGTCAGAGTCTGGCTGGGAGAGCTTCCTGTTCAGCCACGCGCCATACGACCCGCTATCACCATCTCGCATCGCTGGGGACCGACCTCGTGGGTGCCGATTCTTTGAGGATGTCCGTGCCCCACGTGGCTGGGCCTGGAAGAGCAAGAAGTGGGAACTCGACCTAGACTGCCGTGAGTGGGTGGTGGAGCGCATGATCACCAGTGTTGGGTTCGAGGTTCCAGGTGTAAATGCCGAAGGCAACGCCATTGTCGGAGAAGTTGGTGGTTGGGTTTGGGATTTGCCTCCAACTCGGCATGAGTCAGATGATGATCTGACATTGGCCTACGGAGACTTACCTGATTCACCATCTCCCAAAGAAACCAAGGTCAAGGAGAAGGAGAAGAAGGAGGAGAAGGCGAAATCACGGGATTGGGAGGAAGGGACTGCGTCCTACGGAGTGGGAGAATGGAGACGCCGACGATGGGTACGAGTGGTGCAACGAATAAGCCTTCCGCCGGCGGGGGGTTGTTACCTACTCGACACTCAGTAGTAACAGCTAGAGGAAACACGCGATAACGAATCCAAGCGGCTCAGTTGCCGTCCAATAATATTTACTTCGGGACACATGCATCCACGTAGACACTTTTAATAAACAGAAAAAGACAAACGCCAGACTCGCCCTAACCAGATGCTCAGAACAAATGAACAAGGCATTACGACTGACTCTTCTTCCACTTGTTAATTCTCCTCCGCAAATCACCCTCGCTCTGCTGCATAGGATTCAGCTTGCGATCACGAGTCATAGCAGTGAAATTATCTCCGTGCTTCTCAATCAAGCGCTGAGCCCACTCGCCCTCGCGCGTGCTCTGGTAACGCGGCTTCTTAGCACGGACAGTCTTCCCTTCCTGATCCGCCTGGCGCTCAAGCTGTTGCACAATTACTGAGTCGGCGAGAGGGTTGCTGTCGCCATCGCCTGCCAGGATATCATTCAGAGGGTCGTTGAGAGGGTTGCTGCGCGAGCGCTGAACGCCCGCCACTTCGATGTTGTCTTCGTCGTCGTGGATAACACGCAGAATCTTGCCAGTCTTGGGATCACGCTCGACTCGTGTCTCACCGAGGTCAAGCTTGGCTGCGGCTGCCTTGGCGCTGCCGCGGATGTGCAGCGAGTTCTTGTTGTCGGGGTATTGGTCCTTGTTTCCGGGGAGGCGTTCGCGACCACCGGATGGTGCGTTCAGCTTGTGCATCAAACCAAGGCGCTGGTAATTTTGCGTCAGGGTCAGATTACGATCCCTATATTCGTTAGTGTTTTGCACTTTTTAAAGGAGAGCAAGATGCGCATACCAGTTGTCGGCGATGATCTGATTGCCCAGCACATTGATCTTCTTGTGGCCGCTCTTGAGGCGGTTGTCCTTAGCACGGGCCGTGGAGCGCCCAGAGCGGGCCTTCTTCTTTTGCAAAACTTTACCCATTGCGAATTGTGAAGTGAGTGTAGAGGTCAAATTGGTTCTTCTTGTCTATAGTCGGCGATAATAAAAAGCGTTATCGAAACTTTTTTTTCTGAGTTTGCATGTCTTGGCATGTTTGTTCAGGGTCCCGCGATAAACAACGATAGCGGATAGCTGTACTTCCGTGGGCTGTATTGCCTGTCACTTAAACAAAACCTTGGCCAATTCCTTTGCAATGGCTTCTCGCTTTTTCCCTTCGCGTAGAACAGGCATTGCCCTTGTTGCAGGATGTTTGTTGTTCTCAGCCTTGGCCGCAGCTAATGTTGGCCCCGGAGAGCTCTCCGTGGGCCAGATCGAGGAGCAGTTGCAGGTATGCTGTACAACGTCCTCTGTGCCTTATGTGAACTAATCTATCATAGAGCTGCCCACTTGTCGAATCTCTCAATGAGCACAAGCGTGCAACCCGCCCAGAGACTACTAGCTTGACCTCGAAGATCTTCGCTGTCCTCTTCCCGAGCACCCCAGCCGTGAACGCACTTCTAGCAACTTTGTATATCTCCGGTCCACCGAGTAAATCTTCCCCCTTAATACTCGCGATAAACCTCTGCTAACTGCTTCAGACTTCCTTCTGGCACTATGCCCACCTAACATTGACCCCTCCTCGCTGTCAGTGATGGTCGCATTTGCCGTCGGCGGCTTACTTGGCGACACCCTCTTCCACCTACTTCCCGAGATCTTCGTCGGTGAAGCCTCCCCCGACCACGTGAGCTTCGTAATGGTCGAGCCAAACAAGAACCTTCTTCTTGGCTTGGGAATCATGGTCGGATTCTTCACCTTTGTCGCAATGGACAAGACCCTGCGCATCGCGACTGGCGGCGAGGGCGGCCATGACCACTCGCACAGCCACGCGCACACCGAATCAATCGATGCAGTTACGTCTAGCGCCGAGACCAAGAAGCCCAGTGGCGAGCTGAAGAAGCGCAAGTCTGCTGCGAAGGAGTCTGAGGTCGTGGCTGAGAAGGAAATTAACCCCAGCGTCAAACTTGGCGGTTACCTTAACCTCATCGCTGACTTCACCCATAACATCACCGATGGCCTTGCCCTTTCCTCTTCCTTCTATGCTTCGCCTACCATTGGCGCAACGACCACTGTGGCTGTCTTCTTCCATGAAATCCCCCATGAAGTTGGTGACTTTGCTCTGCTTATTCAGTCTGGCTTCTCGAAGCGCAAGGCCATGGGCGCGCAATTCGTTACTGCTATTGGTGCGTTCTTGGGTACCCTTATCGGAATTGCCGTTCAGGAGTTCGGTGGCAACGGCACTATGTTGGATGATACCGAGCCTGCTGGTCTCATGGGAACTAGCCTCACTTGGGGCGATATGCTTCTTCCGTTCACAGCAGGCACATTCTTGTATGTTGGCACTGTGGCTGTGATCCCAGAGTTGCTGGAGACTGGTAAGGACAAGGGCGTTGAAGTGCGGAAGACTATCACACAGTTTTTGGCTGTTGCTCTTGGAGCCGGCATTATGCTTGCGTAAGTATCTGTTTCCCCACCTCCCGGCCACAAGGCTTCGATCGTACAATTATCACTAACACACTTTATAGCATTTCGTGGGATTGATTCATATGTATCGGGCATTGGTATACACTGATATACACCAGTAATGTCATATTGTGCCCATAGCTGTTATGGCTGTTGAGCCTAAGTGCAGCGACGAAAGTCAATGTCTTCGGTTCAGCAAAGAATACATAAGTGACGCCCGACTCTGGTAAATAGACTAACGCCCTGTTTAACCACATTCTACGCCGCTTTTTGTATATGACCATTTAGATTCATCTTGCACAGATAAGTAACCGTTTATTCGAGATGGCGATAGCCATGTTAGAGCTAAAATAAATGCACAAGAACCTTCAAGCCAGCAACGCCCCTAGACCTAACCCTTCTCCAACATGAATGAATAATACCCAGTCATATTCCTTGGTAATACACAGAATAATGCAAAGTCAATTTTGGACTTGAGGAGGCAACCATCCCAAGTACGTATGAAATAAAAAAAGCCTCCACGGAAGGACGTATGCCGAGGTGAATGTTAATGGATCCCTCGAATAGTGAAGAGAGGCGAGAAAAAGCTTGAGATGCGCACAGCGCAATGTATGCAAGCGAAATAGACGTTAGACGAGGCTGGAAGCCATTTACTCGTTATAATGGTAGACCTAGAAACGTGTCAGCGAAATTATCCCCCTATCAGCCGAATTAGGCGGAAATCGAAACATACGAAGTAATCTGGGAGTCCAATGACCTCATATCCCAGTCTTCGAGCCATCTTCGCAAAGCCCTCCGTCTCCAACAAGTGGAAGAATGGGAAGGCGGGGAACATGGCACCATCACGGTGCACATCAGCCTTGACCAACAAGGCAGTACCACCAACACCATCAAGAGCAAGCATTTTCTTCGGATCGAGTTTTTTCATATCCGGCAAGTGCGCCATCAGGGTACGATACGTAGGCATCTCAGCGTAGCCTTCCAGGAGAATCTCATCAGGCCCCATGTTTGCAGCGAGGTTCTGCGCGGTCTGACTATCAACCCAAGAGTTGAAGTCATAAGGCCTGATGTCCCACTTCTTCTTCGAGGTATCATAGTAGCGCTGGAAGCAGTTCGGCACAATGACCGGTTGGTTAAAGGCTGTTAGATCCTGAATGAGAGCAGCCGGTGTCTCAACGACGTCACTGTCCAGCCAGAGGACCCACGAAGTCCCGGGGCCGAGTGTTGTAAAGACCAGACTGTTTCTCGCACGACTCATCGACTCGCGACGCTCTTTCTGCGCCCCCATAGCATGGCGGGCCTTCTCATCCTGTGATTTCAGCGGCGGATCGAAGTCTTGGCGAAGGATGCTGATACTCGCGAAGCGATTGTCGATTGGTCCCGATTGCGTCTTGGAAATGGCCTTCTCCAGGGCCGCAACCGCGGCGTTTCCCTCGCTTGTCTTCGGTGCGATGAAGCCCAAGGAGATCAGCTCATGTGGATAGCTCAGCTTCTCGATGTTATCCCAGTATCCTTGGTAGAAGCGGGCTAGCGGAGTTAGGATGAGGATCCGCTCGCCGTTGGCAACTGAGTCCGCGGTGTTGGTTAGGCTGTTGAGGTCGTAGTGGACGACCGGAGGAGCTGCCTTGTGTCCATCGCTTCGAACTGCCTGTGATTTGAAGAAGGGTTTTGTGGGTGGGGATAAGGGGTGTTCAGCGGCGTTTTCCTGGCGCTGTTGGGAGCTCGCGGATGCGGAGGATGCGGAGGGAGTCGAGGGCGAGAGCATGAAACATATGAAACCGAATGCTAGTAGCGCTGCTAGCACGAGACTTATTGGGCTCGTGCGGCGCATGGAGCGTGCAACGGCCATGGCCGGTCAACGATAAACGTTAAATTGGAGATTGGGAGGTGTTGTTGCTGTCCAGCGAAGCCGCTGACGTTCTGACTGCGTTAATGCCTCAGGCACCAATGAACCAAGTTCAACCTTGCCTCAATTCCTCCCCTGGTGACAACTACGGGGAATTGATTCTGGCGTGAAAGAGAATAAAAAAATGTCTGAAAGAGCTACTGTGGATGATGGATCACTTTTATTCTTTGCCCTGTCCGGAAAGAGACAAACCAAGACAACCCATGTCACCTCACTATCAAGGATCCTTCAACGGGGGCCGAGATCACAACTTCAGCTGCATGGTCCAATTACGAATCGACATTGGCTCGGTCTTTGGAAGGTGTCCATTTTATTATCGCGGGATACTTCAAAGAGGGTCCCGAAGGGTCTCATCGCCGAATGCGGCCCGCCACTACATGGTACATTCCTGATCACAAACTACCACGAGTCACGATTGACTTTCCTCAGGGGAAAATAATGCATAAAACAATGGGTATGTTCTTCTAAATAATTATATAGCCATGAGACTTCGGTATATTCAATCATTTTGGGTTCGTATAGGCCATGGAGGAGTTAGGGCAAGGTACGCATCACACCCTCGAACGCAACCAGAGCCATCGCATTCGCCGGGAATGCCCTAAGGAAGCATGGCACAAAGCCCCGCCAGTACCCTCTCCACCCACGCTCGCGCCATACGGCGACCGCAGCGTCCTTCCAGCCACGGAACTGGCGCTTGCCATCATTCAGCGCACCACCCATGGGGTCCGTCATAAGACGCTGCTTAACGACATCGGACGGATAGGAGGTGAGCCAGAAGCATTGTGCGGAGATACCACCGGCCCAGAAATTGATCGCAGGGGCGGACAGTGTAGTGTTCTTTTTGAAGTAGCGAGTCAGGACGTCATAGGAGCCCCACCAGAAGAAGAAAAAGGAGCGGAAGAGGACCGTTGCCCAGAGGCCGCGGTATAGGCCGCTGATGCCATGCGTGCGAACCTGTTTATGTTAGTTGTTGTGTATGGTATAGGGTCATTGGCACTCACCAGCTTGCGTAGGCAGTCAATCGGCCCGCTGTACATGCGCTTCGACTTGTCGGCGGCGTATTGCACCTGCAGGCGTGCCTTGACGTGCTCTACTGGGGCAGCTACGAAGCTGACCGTTGTACCAGCCAGGATACCTGCAATGCCATGTCCGAAACTAGGAAGGGTTGCGAGGTCTGGCTGGTAGCGCGAGAAGGGGAGGTAAGGGCGGATGTGAGGTTTCGAGAAGACATTTTCGAGTAGTAATCGGCGATATAGGGTCAATGAGCCCAGCATGCTGCAGGTGGTCAGCAAAATTCCTGTTAGGTAGTGCGGTACACTTACACAGAGTCCATCACCATCCATCCGACCAGCGGCGGTGTAGCTCCCTTATAAAACCCTTGTAATCCTTCCTTTCGCAAAGTCTGCAACGTGCAATCTAACGGTCCTCGGAACTGTACATCTTTGCTGGTTTGTAGGCGAACCTTGATGGTGTCGAATCTATGCAATTTCGTTAACAATTGATCCAAGGCGAAGTAGTTGATTATGCATACGGATGGCCAACTGTAGAAAAGCAAAGTTAGCTCCAACCCCAATTAAAGGACAGAAAACAACCTACCACTGAGCTTTGCAATGCCTGAAAAAACGCCCGCCACAAAACCCTTGTAATTCGACTTCGATGTCCCAGACTGAGCAAGCGTGTGTTCCGCCTTCTGTTGACCCGTCATATCAGATACCGAGACAGGTAAAGGCGCCGGCGCCGATGACATCGTCTAAGAGCCCCAAATGTTTCCCCTAATACTTAGTCGCGGATCGCAGATCCAATACGTCACAAAACGGACGCCACGCGCAGGTTGTAGAGTGCTTGTGCGCAACGCGCGGGCGATCAAATCGAAATGCGGTGACGGATGCCGATAAGGATAGAGTGGTTTGGGGTTGCTGGGCTGCTGGGGTGCCAAGGAGGATTCTCCAAACTGGCGTGTCTTTTCTGGGGAAGCCGGGGTATATATATGACTGTAATGGGGTAATTGAGAAAAAAAATATTGAGGGGAGTTGGTTTAATGATAGTTTGGGCCCCGCAGATTCCTCTCGGGGAGAGTGGGTGTTCCTCCGAATCGCGGGTGATGCCTTAGGCGCATATTGGAAGTGTATTTGAAGTGGCTTTTCGAGCTAACCTTATATGGTGTAGTAAATCTGGGGATTAACTTTAACAGTTTGCCTCTCCAGGTGTATATCATCTCTTATCTGATCCCTGTAGGATATGCGTTACCTAGGACCAATCTCAAAGATAATAGGGTAGGACTCGGTGAAAAGCTCGCTAGGGAAAGTCGTCCAAGGTCCAAAAAAAAAAAAAGGATTAAAAGTTGTCGCTGGGTGACATTACCTGAATACCAGAAAGGTACCCCAGATCTGGGCAACACGCAAGGAACGGAGTATTTCATATGAAGCGGATATGACTCAACGGACACATCCCAGTTTCAACCCGCGTCCACCACTCCTCAGAGGATATTGGCCCTATAGCCATCAGGGTTGGAAGGACCCCAATTATAGCGCGCGCTAGTTAGCTGTTATTGTGGTGTAATTAAACCGAGAAATGAAAATACGAAGCAATATTTCGTATTAGAGGTTGATACTTGGCTTCTACTTGGATGTGCCAAGCAAGGTCCGAGGCTGGACTAGAGCAGGGTATATAATTTAGATACATGATGTCGTGATGCAGGATCAAACGCAGTAGTCGGCTGAAGCCGAGATTGTTTAATCACGGAGAGTGAGAATGACGAGAATGCAAAAAAAAAAAAAACAGAGCCAAAAAGAAATTAAAAGTCAAAAACAAAAACAAAAGGCACCAGGTGCACTGTATCAGGCGTGTGGGGTGGGCTCATTTTGTTCCAGAACACCAAAAGCAGATATAAAAACAGGCACGAAATAAAGGCTCCAAAGGGATCCCAATTCTCTAATGGATAATAAACAGAAACAACCTTTTAATGCAAATCCGGGTTAGGGTAGATCTATTACCGGCCCTTGGCGGACTTTCGAGCCATCTGCCGAGCCTTCTCCTCATAAGCAATGAGCTTTTCCACCAGCTCAGCCGGAGGACCGGAGTTCTTTGGGACATCTCGTGGAGTCCGCTCGGATGTGTTGTTCATCGAGCCATGGGCGAGGTAGTCACCGGCCTCTAGCGCCAGGGGTGTGACGGGGCCCGGGCTGACCAGAGGATCCAAACGGGGCGCCGAGGGACCTTGGTGGACGCCCTCAATGAACTCACGGTACTGCCACATCATGTCGCGTGACCCCGCTGCAGTGCGGTAGGTAGTCTGTCGAGATTGGCGAGGAGATGTAGGCTGAGCAGTGGCGTTGTGAGAAGTACTACTCGACTGATATACAGCAGGATGGAATCGGGGCAGGCTGCCGAGATGGAAATTCTGGGTTTGCTTGGTCTTGGATGGGTTCTGGGTCCGAGTGCGAGTTGGTTGAGGAGAATTTGAGCGCCGTGGAGACATGATAGGCGAAGCAGCCGGGGAGTAGTAAGGTGAGTTATCAGAACGCATTCTTGTCGAGGACGGCGGGGGCCGCGATGGATACTGGCCGCGACGGGTAGGCCGGATTGATGAGATTTGTCGGGACTTGGCGGATTGAGACGCACGTTCCCAATCGTCAAAATAGGAGTCGTGATCAAATCGACCGGTGAGTGGTGTCACTGGAAGGTCCTCGTATATTGGACCAGGGCGTCTTGGGATAGGAATGGGTCTCGTGGATGAGGATAAGGTAAGTGAGTCAAAAGGGTCGATCCGAATGGTATCCGGATAACGGGTCCGACGAGGCGGCGAAGGGGGAGTATAAGTAGATGAGGTGGCTGTCAGATCTCGCAGAGAAGAGAGTGACACAGGTGTGGGGTAGCCGTGTTTGGTGATCAGACTTTCCAGATGGTCTCTTGGTTGGAATGCGGAACGCCGGTACGAGGCCGATGATAGGTCTGAATTTTGATTAGCATGGGAATGAGAATGCCACACGTGTCTAACGAAGAATGTCTGACAGCGTGTCGCGATAGCCGACAGAATATTGGTTTTAATACATATGTAATATATGTAATATATGTCAAAGGGGGGAAAGTTTGAGAATATAGAACCCGTAGGGGTTGTAGGCCAATGGTAGAAGAGGGGGTAAAACACCCGGAACATGGGAAAGATAACCAAATGGGGAATTGAACCACTTACTTGGGGAGAATGAACTACTATGTGATGAAGGGTAAAGAGAAGATGCAGAAGAGGAAGAAGATGAAGAAAAGGAAAATGAAAAAGGAGAATCTGAGGGAGAATGTTTTCGCATCTGTTGGTTTTTTTTCCCGGTTAGTGTGCATTAAGCACTTGCGGGGGGCAACTCCACCAAGTATTTAACCAAGTAATTAAGAATAGAATCAAAGGAAATTGCAGACAAAATAGAATGAAAATAAAAACGAAAATAATACAAAAAAATAAAAAATAAAAAATAAAAAAAGAATCGCTTACTAGGTATAATTCTGAGTCCGAGGACTCCGGTATCCTGTCACATCCAGACTCTTTCAAGTGCTCGACGGTATGGAAGATCCAAGGATGGGGAGAACGGGATGACGAATGTGCCGCTTTAATAGTGGAGCTCTTTGAGATTTGCCTAATCAAACATCCCACGGCTCTTAGAGAGAAATCAGGGAAATGGGAGAGAAAAAAAAAGAAGGAAAAACGTCGTTTCTTAAAAGCTCCGGGCCAGGCACCTGTGAAACTAAACATTTCAAGGTATCTATTTCTCTTCCACGCGCAACCGCCCGGTGACCCATAGGTTTCTCCCCCAAAAATTAAAAAAGGAAAATATAAAGTAATGACTGCTTCATATCATAAATTGAGATAATCCAGTTTTGATTTAACAAGATTGGACCAGAGTGAAAATAGGTGAAGATCCCCGTCCAGTCGCGAATGATTAACCAGGGGTGTCATGCGTCAAGCTGGTCATTTCTGATTCGCACGCCTCTTGACTCAACGCGGTGACGTCCCAACTACCGACTCATGTCATCTGTCGACATCCTTCTGTTGAAGTTAATCTATCCCTAAGCTGGATAGGAGATTCCATCTAGCCAACCACCACCCATGTTGCCTGGTCCGCCGCATCACCCGACACCTATCACTACGCGTGGAGGGAGGGAACCGTTAACGCTGACTGGCTGGTACACGGGGCTGAACCTCCTTATAACATATTCTGGGTGCTGGATACAACCTCATGATGGCCTGGGGTGTTTGTATGTCTCGGATTATCGTCCAAGCTCCCGGTCCATCCACCCCTTTGCCGACTCCGTACAAGGCTGCAGAATTGGTTATCTTTAGAACAGAAGTGAACATCATATTTAAATGAGGTATTGAGGTATTTACCTTATCTTTGTATTGGGTGAACCACATTCCCCTAGAAAAGAGTGGCATTCGAACGATACGAGGACCTAGTAGAATCACAGATGAACTAAGAAAGGCACAAAAAGTAAATTGGGGCAACCTACCCATTAGTCTTGATTAAGCTAGCTGCAGAATGGGCTGGCTTTGGTTTCATTACCGCGTACTTTACGTAGGTGGATACAGATCTAGAGCTGATCTTCTTCACTTCAACCCACTTAAAATATGTGTAATTAGAATCAAATATAAGGGTTGTAAGTGGCGAATAATACGAATAATATGTTGACATAAATAAGTATGCCTACCAAGTACGGAGTACCATTCCTAATATTGGAAAGTAAGTCGAGTTTCGGCAGCTTTGTCCTTTGCCCCTGCATACTGTGAGTTTTACACCTCTTTGGACCTTTCTGCTGTACTCCGTACTACATGAGAAAGAAGAGTGAAACTAACTAGCGAGGAGTCTATAGACCAAATTCAAATTCAAGTCTTGAGGTCCACGGGGAACAAAGAATTACGAGACCATGGCCTCGGCCCTTCCCCACCCCACCACGGAAATTATCTGACGCAGTGAACCCGACTTTGGAATCCGATTCAGAATATATTCCAATGTCAAAACCCCTGACCAACAAAGCAGGCGAGTCTCCTCTCCCACGACCGTCAACCATCCAACATGACAAAGCTACGTGTCAACCGGACCCCTCCGAACTTCCGACAGTCCCAAAAATTGACATCAAATCCCAACTATTTCCCCCTCATAGACCAAACTATCGATAACGTGTCCCATCCTTATCCAAAAAAAAAAAAAAAAAAAAGGCGACTCGCATCTGCAACAGACCGGAAAGATAAGCTTACCGGCATAATTTCAAACATGACTGACCCACATATCCGCGGAATTCTACTACGTTATCCTGACCTGATACTAACCAACACATGTCACCAGTTATACAGTCCGCTGGCTTCCGTATTGTGGAGATTTGCTCGATAGCCCCGCGTAAGGGGCTGTATGTCGCATACAGTGGCTTACAGGCATCGAATAAGGCGTGCTTAGCGGCGGCTTGCTGCATGGAGTTTCGGGTCGAGGGAAATCTACAGTGGAAGGGGGTGGCACCCGATGCTTGTGTGCGGGGCAAGGTGGGTAGTGGTTGGTGGGTTGGAGTAAAAGTTTACTGCGAGGTAGAAAAGTGGACTGATATACTTCGTACAGCGTATCTATATCACACTTGGGCTGGGATTATTGGGCTCGTAGCATGCAGGAAGCCGGGGTGCCCTAGCGGAGTGTTCCACTTCCACCAGAAAGAAATAGTACAGCACTTTTGGGTCCTGCCGACTCTAGACCATCGCTTTTGTTTCTAAATTGTACACCGTACGAGATAACCCCCACACCAGTGGAATCCCAGAAAATGCCCAGGCTACGCTAGCAATCATGTGAAACTAACATTTGCCCATCTTGTGCAGAAGTGGAAGCGCAGCGGCCTGGATGCCAGAGCCCAATAGACATGGGACGAGGTTGGAGATTGGTTCTGTAGTGGCGGGGGACTTTGGGTGGATATCCACGAGGAACATCTTGTCTGTGTGATTGGCAACTGACCTCTAAAAGCCAATGACTATCTTGAAAGTCTAGACAAAATAATTGGGTGTCTGCATTTAAGCAACCAGCCAAACATAACGTCCGACGTTACGGAGTAGTTAAGATGGATTCTTTGAATAGAGAATTGACGCATACTGTCGACATACCATCTGCACTTAGCTCGGAAATAAGAATCCTAAGCCTCAGCTTCTTAATAGGAAACTCCACTAAAGATTTTATAGCTATGTCCAGGTTCAGCTCCCACACCTGTTGTCGAAACAGCCAGTCCAAGAATGCTCCGGTAATGAACGCCGAAAAGACAGTGTCTCCGCTGCATATAACAAAATAAAGCATATCTGTTCGCTGTGATCGCCATACACATCACGCATTACACTCGGGGTACTTGTCATGGGAGCATAGAGGCTACAATAGGTTTAAGCAATGATCATCAAGATCAGGAGGGATTCTAGATCGGTGAGAATAAAATACAGGATGGGCAGGGAGTTGCTAATTCTGGATCCTGCGCTGTTGATTGCTATTCAGATTTGCGAAGTAAAAACCACATTCCAGTGTATCAACCCGTAGCCGATGTTTTTCTGTGAAATATCTCGCCTACTAGAGAAAGAATGTTGGTCTTGAATTACAGAAAAACGCTAGAATCATCTGGCTACATGTGATTATTTTGGGAATTTGGTGTGCTCAACTGATAGGTCTACGAGGGAAATGAGACTACTTCTCTGGGAATTTTGAATAACCCGGAGCCCAATATACATACTCAAGTTAGAGTTGCCTGACACGGGCAGGCGCCTATATTAGCCACAAGTCCCTTTTTTTTAAATAATCCAGCCTGTCTTGCTGATTTGCCGAGAACTCCCTTGTAAACATTTGGAATAGCGCGCAATGTGACTGTTGTATCTTACAGCCACCAATAACACAGAGATAAAGGAAACCAGATCAGACCTCCTACATTGGTGGGTGAAAGCCAAAGTTATCCAAGTCACTGCTATGTACTATTTTTGGGGTCATGAACCCCATTTCTATTTAAATTGAGAGAAACAAAACAAAATATATTTCATCTGTTTGCCTTGGTTGAAAAAAAGAATTTGTAGTCCTGGGCTGAGTGTTCAGTTATATACTTTCGGCAGATCGCTCTTGATGCACTTTATCTGCAATAATAAACTTTGAATGCAACACAGACACAATGGAGATACCTACCTCATCCAATGGATAGTCTTATACTTTTATCGACTCATATTTAATTGAACAAGACCGCAGTAGGAAGCACAAAGGGAGGCTTTCGCGGGGTTAGACTCGGTCACCTGACAATCCATAGAATAGACCAATCAGAGCACCCACTGATAGCGGGATTTCTGACTCATCACGCGATATTGCAAGAGGGGCAACAGAAGAAATTCACGATTTCCTCAACCATAGAATAAAGTGAGGACCGGCCTTATACTGCTGCAATTGAAAACTTAAAATTGACTAATTTCCACCAGACGAATAAAAAACCATGGCCAACGAAGCAACCCAGCCTCCGGCGCTCAGCTCGTTGAGCATCGACGAGAAAGCCTCAGAAAGCAAGGCCGTTGGCCAGATCGTGACGCCCTTCGATGTTTCCGGTGGAGTTGATGAATCTGGCAAGCTATTGCCGGTCGACTATGAGAAGCTCACGAGGGAGTTTGGAGCCACACCCATCAATGCAGCTTTATTGGAGCGCTTTGAGAAAGTGACTGGCCACCGCCCACACCGTTTCATGCGCCGGAGTATCGTGTTCAGTCACCGCGATCTGTCGAAGATTTTGGATAAGCACGAGAAGGGCGAGCCATTTTTCCTCTACACTGGCCGTGGGCCGAGTAGCGACAGCATGCACGTTGGACACACTGTGCCGTTCGAGTTCACCAAGTATGTTTAGTCTCGGATGACCACCTGTGTAGATACCGGAAACTGATTCAATTGTAGATGGCTCCAGGATGTCTTCGATGTTCCTCTCGTTATCATGATGACCGACGATGAGAAGTTTATGCACTCTCAGAAGATCGAGATCGAGGACGCCAAGAGATACACAAAAGCAAACGCCAAGGATATCATTGCTGTTGGATTCGATATGAAGAAGACCTTTATCTTCAGTGATTTCCAATTCATTGGTGGTGCTTTCTACGAGAACATGTGCCGGATGGCGAAGAGAATTACAATCAACCAGGTTAAGGGCACATTCGGGTTTAACGACAGCAACAACATTGGCGAGTTCCACTTCTGTGCCACTCAGTCTGCTGCGGCCTTCTCTACCAGTTTCCCTCACATCTTCGGTACCGAGACGAAGAAGGTGGCATCGATTCCTTGCCTGATTCCATGCGCCATTGACCAAGACCCCTACTTCCGCCAGTGCCGCGAACATGCGGAGAAGATGAAGTACAAGAAGCCCTCTCTCATCCACTCTATCTTCCTTCCCGCTCTCCAGGGTCCTGGATCCAAGATGTCCGCCAGTATCGACAGTTCCGCCATTTTCATGAGCGACACGCCTAACAAGATCAAGAACAAGATCAACAAGCACGCTTTCTCGGGTGGCCAGGACACTGCGGAATTGCAGCGCGAGCTGGGCGGCAACACTAAGAACGATATCCCATTCCAGTACTTGACATTCTTCCTCGAGGATGACGAGGAACTGGAGCGCATCCGTACCGATTACGAGGCTGGAAAGATGATGACCGGCGAGATCAAGCAGAAGTGTATCGCTGAGCTCCAGACTTATGTCCAAGGGTTCCAGGAGCGCAGGGCACTGGTTACGGATGAGATCATGGCCGAGTACATGCGTCCTCGCCCTCTTGAGTGGAAGGGCAATCCCAACCCAGTGGTTGTTGAGAAGGCTAAGAAATAGGCCTGGATGGGTAAGGGGGCATTTTCTGGAGCAATCAAGTTGAAAAATACGTACGAATTCATAGCCTTTTCATCAATTCACCAATACCATTCAAATATCGACTATTTCACATATACACCTATCGAAATAGGTGCATACAAGACAAACTATGTTGTATGAGGTTTATTACTTGGCTATGACCTGACCTCGAATGAACCCTCTTACGCCGTTGCTCAACCAACACAACTCGCCATCCACAAGCTCATCCCGGGATATGGTGTGTTCTAGACAGAAACCCTGAGATAACGCATACCTCCGTGTTGTACCCGCATTGCCGCCACTGCTCAGTGGGGGCGTAATCCACATATGGTCCCGCAAGAAGTACGGCGTAGTGATACTGCCTTCCATAACCTCGCCATTCGGGTTCACAACCAGTACTTCCGCAAGGTCTGTCGGCGAATTAATTCCCGCTCTCAGCCGCGCAGACATATAGTCATCACGCGCAGTGGTTTTATGTGTCGTGAAGGCGGAAGGTGTTGTCGATTGGGTATCGACATAGACGCGCCATATTGGCGGGCTTGAGTTCGTATGTAGAGAGGGAATGAATAAACTCATTAGATCAATGCTCGCTGTTGGGTTCGCCTCAACTCTCGCCTTCCCTTCATTGTCCACTACAATTCGAAGCCTCCACGCTTTGCTTCGGTCCGGAATTGACGCGTCGAGGAAATTCTCGAAGCCTTGCAAGTCTTGTTGCAGCCAGTTTAGAGCCTCGTTCCATTGAAAATGAGCCGCAGCAGCTATGAGCCGGGCTTGATGGTAGGCGAGGAGGTAGTAGGGGGATTTGTGAGGATCAGGATAGCTCGATGCATGGCGACAAGCTGCGTCTGGAAGGCCTGGGTCAAAGCGAAGGGAGGAAAAGATCTCGAAAGATTGTGCGCTTGCAGAGTTCTCGGTCATTTTTGCCAAAGTCAATGGCTTACGGTCGCTGCTGTAGTCACAAAGTCAGTGCTGTCAGATAGTAGATGAATTCAAACGACGTTGCTTCGGACGGAATTCGAAGAAGAGAAGGAGGGAGGGGGGAAAGAATACAAAAAGATCCGATGAGCCAGCTCTATTCAATCCGGACAGGTGGTGTGGAGAACTTGAGTGTTACCGGCGTAGGGCGCGTGATTGGCCGGTCCGGCCAGCGGAACCCTTGACTTTTCCTCTGAGCTTCATCATTCCCGAACTTCCCCATCTCTAACTCCTTCTGTCGAGGTCTGGTTAGTGAACCCCTTGTCTTCCATCTCAACCTAATTGCGTCTGACTCCATGATTGAATACTGATATCTGCCTACATTCAAAGAACTAGCCGCGTCGCTCCCTTTGCCTGGTTCCTTACACATCATGTCGAACGAATTGCCGTTACCTACACCCACCCAAAATGTGGTGATTGATACATCAAAGCTGACCGAGTCATCATCGGCATCAGTCTGGGATCGCATCACCAACTGGGTCTCAGACAACAAGGCCGTTGTCTACACCATTGCCGGTGTCGCCGTTGTTGTGACCGGCGCGGGTGTCGTCTACTACCTGAACGATTCCAGCAAATCCACCCCCTCAGCACCCAAGAAGAGCAAGAAAGAGCGACGGAAGGAAAAGAAGAAGGCCGAGGAGGAAAAGGCTGCATCAGCGAAGGATGGTATGTGGTCTTGTTTACACACGGTGGTCGTATGACTGACAAGGCTTTAGAGTCCCCCAAAAAGGCTGAGGAGCAGCCCACTGATGAGCTCCCCGAAGTGGATGAGGCAACTATCGGAGAGCTGTCCGAAGAGGTATGTTAAGCTATATTCTTTCTCACACTTTCGCTGACAAGTTAAGACCCGCAACGCCTACGCAGCCAAGTTGAAGGCTGCTGGTAACAAGGCCTACGGAATCAAGGACTACCCCAGCGCAATTGAGTTGTACGGCAAGGCCATTCTCTGCAAGCCCGATCCTGTATTCTACTCCAACCGCGCCGCCTGCTACAATGTCCAATCCAACTGGGAGAAGGTCGTCGAGGATACCAGCGCCGCTCTCGCCATGGACAGCGAATACGTCAAGGCCCTTAACCGAAGGGCCATTGCCTACGAGCACCTCGAAAAGTACAGCGAGGCTCTTCTCGACTTCACAGCCAGCTGTATCATTGATGCCTTCTCCAACGACGTGAGCCGCAACTCGCTCGAACGGCTACTGAAGAAGGTTGCCGAGAAGAAGAGCCAGGCTATTTTGGAGGCGCGCACCAAGAAGTTGCCTAGTGCCACTTTTGTCTCCAACTACCTCCAGAGCTTCCGTCCCCAGGCTCTGCCAGAGGGATTGGAGGAGTCGGTTGAGCTGAGCGATGAGTCCGGCTTGGGTCAGCTGCGTAAGGGTCTCATCGCTATGGGCAAGAAGACTGCCGATGGCTACGAAGAGGCTGCCGCCGCTTTCGAAAAGGCACTTGAGCTCGGCGAGCTCGGCGAATTTGAAGGATTGGCCCTCAACATGCGTGCCACCTTCACCTACCTCGGCGGTAACGCCACTGGTGCTTTGGTCGACCTGGACAAGAGTGTTGAGCTTTCACCTTCCCTGGTTCAAAGCTACATCAAGCGCGCCAGCTTGCACCTGGAGCTTGGTAACAAGGATGCCGCGGCCGACGACTTCGAGCTTGCCATTACTCACAACAAGGACGACCCTGATATCTACTACCACCGCGCCCAGCTGCACTTCATCCTGACTGAGCTTGCCGAGGCCGCCAAGGACTACCAGAAGTCGATCGACCTCGACCGGTCGTTCATTTACTCCCACATCCAACTTGGTGTGACACAATACAAGATGGGCTCCGTCGCCTCAGCGATGGCCACTTTCCGCCGCACAGTAAAGAACTTTGAGGAAGTCCCCGATGTATACAACTACTACGGCGAGCTTCTGCTTGACCAGCAGAATTACTCCGAGGCTATTGAGAAGTTTGACAAGGCCGTCGAGATGGAGAAGCAGAGCAAGCCCATGGGCATCAACGTCCTGCCCCTGATCAACAAGGCTCTTGCTTTGTTCCAGTGGAAGCACGACTTCCAGGAGGCTGAGAACCTCTGCCAGAAGGCTCTTATCATTGATCCCGAGTGCGATATTGCCGTCGGAACCATGGCCCAGCTTCTTCTCCAGCAGGGCAAGGTCTCTCAGGCTCTCAAGTACTTCGAGCGCGCTGCTGAGCTGGCTCGCACCGAGGCTGAGATCATCAACGCCATCTCCTATGCTGAGGCCACCCGCACCCAGTTGGAGGTTCAGGAGAAGTACCCCCAGCTGGCTGCCCGCCTGAACACCATGGGTGCCATGAACGGTGGTGCTCCTGGCATGTAAGAAAGTCAGCGGATAATCTTCGTCCTTCGCTTCTTCTCTTCTTTCTTTGCCCCGGTTTGGGCATTTCTTTTTGTCTAAGCCTTTTTCTCTTCCGGTTTTGGTATCTTTGGATCCCCGGTCCACTATTCTCTCCGCATGTATTTACTATCGGTTGACATATTCCCCGTCCGCCTTCTTTTCTTTTCTTTTTGTTTTGGTACTGAGTCTGTCTGAGATAAGACTCGGGGATGGGATGGGCCGATTGACGGCAAACCGAGCCCGGGTAAGTGCATTGGGGTTTGACCATGTAGTAATTTGTGTACCATAGAGGAAAATGAGAGTGCTCATTAACATCAGATTAGCTTACTGTATACTGACAAAATACTTCCAATGTTGCTGTTGCTATATATGCAAATATACTATAACTACGTAGGGTAACTAGTTCGTATTCCGTCCACGGGTGTGCATGTGCGGATGACCATGACGTGCGTCTCCACATCAGCTGACCCCACCCCTTATCGGCATCTCCGGACTCTGTTTTTATTTTATGCCTGATAGTCGAAGAAGAAGGCGACTGAATCCCGAAAAGGTTCAATAAGTAAGTTGATATATAGATATGTACTGTCTCTATTTAGCCAGTCTATATCCAGTAGGGAAGTCCCGTTGAGCCAGGGGTATATGCGTGTTGAAATAAGCCCAACGGCGTCATTTGCTTATCTTATACTATCACTTCTCATACATACCTCATTGTTCCTCAGCTTCCGGATACTTTACTTCTTAGTTTCTTGTTGAATTCTGGCATTCTTGAAATTTGAATAGGTTTACCGATAACTGAGGTCCAAGTTGAGTCATATTTCAAAGGGGTTTTACCACTCTCAAACGACCGCCTTGTCAGCGGTGAACCTAACTTCGACCTGATTCATGAACCTACCCCTCTTCCTTCCCTTTCCCTTCCTCACCTTCTGTGCTTTGAATAACTTCTCGTATTTGCTGCTCTGAGTTGTTCTGCTTGCAAACTACTTTCTCTACAATACATCTGCTATCTCCCGGCTGTCTCAACTGGTCCATGTGATCGCGTTGCAGCCTGGAAACACCCAGGTAAGCTGCCTTTGTCTCCAACTCCCTTAACCTCCTGCTCCCCCACCCTTCATCCTCCCATGCTTTGTTATTCATTCTACCTTGCTGGCATGATCTCTCCCATGACATATGAAATTCTATCTCTCAGTCTAACCATCGTTTAGAAACAAACAGCTTCCTATTTCTGCTTTCCAAATCCTACACAGTACCATACCATTAGCCATGTCGGGCCCACGCGGTAAGTACTCGGACATCTCAAAGTCACCTTGCTTCAACTGACACCTCAAATTAACAGTCACTGTGACGCTTGTCCCCCTTTTCGAAGACACCCATCCCCTGCGTACCCTCACCATCAACGATAATGATAAGACCGTGTCCATCGGACGTGCCTCGAAGCGTGAGACTCGAAAACGGAGTCCCGCAGAAGAGAACGCTTGGTTTGAGTCTCGGGTGATGTCTCGTGACCATGCCTTTCTTAACATTCCACCGGACCAGAATGTTAGTTCCAACCTCCAAATCCGACCACACAGCCTCGCTGACATCTTTGATAGGTGGTTTTCATTACTGACTGTGGCTCAACGCACGGAACATACTTGAATGATACCAAGCTGGTGACGGATGTGGATACCCCGCTGTCCAGTGGAGATATCATCCGATTTGGTGTTGATGTCGACCGTGGTCAGGGTAAGTGATGATTAATCCCAGCCTAATAGTACTGGAACTAATCAAGTACAGAGGTGTTTGAGGCCATCGAAGTCCGGTGCAAGGTTCAGTGGCTCAAACCCCAGCATGTGGCCATTCCAAATGATAGCATTGCTATCAAACTGGATCCAAGTCCGTCAACCAACAGTTTCTCTGTCCCCGAAGACGATAGCGATGTCGAGGCTGCCGATATTCTCCGTGATGACTCCTCTCAAGAGTCGGTTGCTCGATCGTGGGAAACTACTGTTTTGCAGCCTGTCGAGCCATCCCTAGTCTCTCCTGTCTCGGATGTCCAATGCGACGAACATGCAAAGGACGAGCCGGAGCTCCATTGGGGAGATTTGTCTTCTACCGAGGGGTCTATCGCAAAGGCTGTGCCCGATACTACACCACTGGTCCCGGATCTTCCTAGTCCGCTGTCTGATACTAATTCGGTCTCTGAAACTAAACCATCTCCCGCCAAACCAGTCTCAGATACCGAAATATGTCCCGCGAAGCATGCCTCTGCCGAACTTCCATCTGCTCAACCACCACACGAGGCAGATAGTCTCCCTGCAGTCTGTTACCAGAAAGTACCGGAAATCGAATACAGCGATTGGACCATGATGCGGCCAATGTTCATGCGCCTGGCAGACATGGCTTGGGGTGAATCTAATATCATACCGGACGTTGACCATGACAGACGCATTATTCACGCTGCACGCCGTTGTTCTCTTTCCAAAGATTCTTACTGGGTAGACGACTCCCTTAGCTTCAAGCCTTGCATTGGGACAGAAGTCTGTTGGGAGCCTGACTCCGAGGAATCAGACACATCATTCCATCGTATGCCCGGCAGCCTCCTTAGGTACTGGTCAGTCGATAAACGAAGGTACTGGATCATCTACGAAGACGAAGACGACCAGGATATGAGCAATTGGTGGTGGATCGTTGAGAAGCCAGAGGAGCTTCTCAGCGAGGAACTGAAGGAGGAGCTCGAGACTGAATCCGAGGTTGATGACTGCCACAAATGCTGGGTCGTGAGGGCTTGGGAGCCTCAAATGATCGGAGATCGATGGTGCGAGCTGACTCCTTACTGGGATCCGAAATTTTACCATGAACACATGCTCTCTGAAGACGAGTCTGTTGATTCAGACGAAGAGGCCCAGGGCAGTGAGGGATACGGGTCTGAGTCAGATGGTCTCAGTGATGGGATCGAGGACTACGGCGAATATCCGTATGAGATGTACGACGGCGAATCGATTCATGGGGCCGACTATGAGGTGCCGACACAAGACTTTGACGAAGATGATGAAGAGGAAGATGACAACGAGGACCTGGAGGAAGATAATGAGGTCTCCGATGAATCCGAAAACAACTCTGATTGTTCCTCTGGGGACGAACGTCTTGAAACCCGTATTTTGCAGAAGCCTGATTTCCGCCCCTTGCTTGATCTGGAGTATTTGAAGGAACTTAGACACGCCAACCCCACTGATGCCGTCGAAGTTTCCAAACATCTACCCGAAGAGACTGACACAGGACCATTGTACCAGGAGGCTCTAGGGGGTCAGTCAGTGAACCCCGCACAGATCGAGAGCAACCCATTGATGGTACCTGCCCTTGGTATGACAAACCCAAGTGCTCGGTTCCCGACCTATGCTGTTTCCGGTGAGCTGCCAAGATCATGCCAAAACAAATACCCACCAATGCAACGGAAGATTGAGAGCACTGTTGGGGTTCCGTCTTTGTCCCATGAATTCGAAAATCGCTATCATGATGGACCGTTCTCGACCAGTGCTTCCGTGGAAGATACCTCTGTGCCATACCTGGTAACATCTAGGACATCAAATTTGAAGCGTACTGCAACAGAGATGCAATCGTCGTCTCCTGAACCCAGTCTTTCTCAAGATTCTCAGCGGCTGCCTGTAGAACCAGCCAGTCAGCCAGATCTCAACCCCAACACTATTCCCTCCGAAGCCAAGGATGCGATCAGCTCTGCACTTGCCGAGAATGTCTCTGCATTTGCAGAGAATGCAAATGCAGAGGATGAGCGTCCAGCAAAACGAATCAAGTCTAATCACTCAACCTCAACGTCCTTGGCAAGCCACGCCACCACAGCTGTCGTCAGCGCTCTGCTGGGTGGTCTGGGAACTATCGCTGTGCTAGCAGCCTTGCCCAATGAATACTTCCAGTGATTGGAATCACTTAGTTTCGTGGTTCGGTTGCTTTTACTCTCCGCTTTTTCCATATTTTATGATTTAACGCCGACACATGAGTTCGGCGTCATTCCAACGATTTTATGATCTCGGGGTTACCCAGGCGTTCTGGCTTTGGGTGGAAGGATGGATGAAGGTGTTTGTTTGTTTGCTTCCCCTCGGCGTTCCCCCGCTTCCACCCCCCCCTGTCGCTGCTGTTTTTATGTCGTGGCTCCATGGGCAAGCACACGGGATCCCCACCCGATCACCGCGGTGTGGTTATGGAAGCTGCCACTAGTGGGCGTTTTATTAGCTGGATAATTTGTTTCTGCCCTATTTCTTTGCTTCCCCTCCCCCTCCCCCTCCCCCTTTACCGTGGCTACACGTACAACCATTAGGTCAAATACGGTGACTCTAAGATGGAACGCCACGTAGCGCCTTATTATTTTTCCATGTGATAGCTATGCAGATTGTAATGGATAATGACAATCCTTCATTTTTGTCTACGTATCATGTAATCTCTTATGAACCAACCATGGAGCTTGTGGTCTCTAAGGCTACAGCCTTTCCATGCCTGTCAGGTACCACCAGTTTTGGTCTTGGGTAGCCTCATTTGAAAATGCACCGTGATATCATTCCACTGTCGCCGAAAGTCAGCACTTGCCTAGCATGTGAGTTCATTTTATACTTCAGGGGATCTATTAGGTGCCGAGTTTCGGAGAATAGTCGGTATCTGATGTTCTACGGTGCTCGACCTTTTATATCAGCGTATACACCGCTTTTCAGGCAGCGAAAAGAAGATAACCATCTCATTTGCAACATAGAAATGGATTGGAATATTCCATTTCCACAGGTAATTGAAGAAAAGACGACCATAACCCAGACTCATCTCTTGCAGTGACAATGGGAACTGGGCTGCAGGTATCCCATAGGTTCATATCAGCTGACTTGCAATTGAGTCGCTCTTTTTCCATTTACGTACAACCTCATAATTTCTTTTCTCTTTTCTTTTTTCCCCGGCATCCTCGGGGTTCAACCGTGACACTAATTCCCGAAGAAAATTTGCAACCGTTCTAGTTCCAGGACAGTCTTTGGAAGTCTCAGATAGCCCTTTTGAGACATCGATGGAAACTTCTCCGTTGTAATGATTGATGCAACTTGCCGCTCATGCAAAGTCTCGACTCCAGCCCGAATTCAAATTCTCGACTTCGAATCCCGGACTAGCGTGTGATTGGAAGTGGCTACCTGCATGTCTACTCCCCAACAACGAACTGGTTGAACGAGCTCATGGAGTTTGAAGTAACTCGGCTGTCTTGGTTCCATACAGTATGATAAATTGGAGGCTGATATCTTTAGTATACGAATCCACAGCCCCGCCTAATGACGCGCATACCCGTTGCTTCTACTTGAAGTCGTATCTTGGTTACATCGATCCTTTTTTGGCTGATGGCAGACTGCATCCATGCAAACCCAGAAGATGAGTGAATTTGTTTTGAGCTGTTCATGAATTCTGTCATTTCCACAGGATTCAGTCTGCATGTGACCAATATGCAGAAGCGCGTCAGGTCAGATCATACAATGAATTCGAGGTAAAAGTCTTAAACGGCTGCAAGGTATCCTTGTAATGTTGAGATGAGAATGTTAAAGAGGCGTTTCGAGGTTTTTTCTCCCCCTGTCCTTGCAGCCGCACACCTCCACGGTTACCTGCTTGAGGCTAAGTGTCACACCCACGGCGCTTCGGGCTTCTTGTCTATGAACTCATGCGATTGGCTGCGAGGACAAATTTTGATTTCTCCTTCTTTCTGCCTATTGGTAGCTCATACCTCTCACGGGGATTTCTTTTGGCTTCAATTACAGCTGCAACTTTTTTTTGTTTTCTTTTCAGATTTCTTTATGTCGGCACCACATGTACTTGCCAGATGCATCCGCAGTCGCCGGTGATCGTCGGATATTGTGCTTCTAAAGGATCATTCTCTTTAAAGGTTGGGATGTGATGTGTGGATTATAGGAGATTATGAAGTCGATTCAATCCCTGCACGACATCGTCACCGTGCGTTTTTCTTATTGCTCACGGCAGATACGGTAGATACCATTTGAGAGCGTACTCCATAGAAGCCCTTGAACAATGTTCCTGATTCGGTATGTGTTAAGCGAACTGAGCTGGTGACTATTTAGCTGCCAACTCAAACTTCCATGCACAGTACTTTACTCTATTCAGTTGAGATGGAAAGATCACCCCAAGACAAGAAAAATACGACAAGAGCTGACGACGGCATCCCTCTATGGGGGAAAAAGGAATCCAGCCAGTATGGCCCATATCATCTATACATCATCTCGGAGATCAGATCATGGTTGCATGGTCGAATGCAGCTATCCGTGGTTGGAATTTTCACCTCTCATACTCGTGGTCATTTCAACAGTTCTGACCTACGAGGATAATGGTACACCCATTCTTGCGGTCAAGATTCGTGACTCGAAATGGCGGCCACGCTCCTGGGACATCTTTTTCGCTGCACATGAACGACTATCTGTATAACACTAGATCAACTTTGATTTTCCAATTCGGTGGCATTTTAGTTTCACTGCAGGTTTTCTGCTCTACAAACTCTCCCACAGGATGATGAGCGAATGAGCCCCTTTGCAAAACGTATGAACGACGTAGGCCCGGTCGTGTGGATCGAGAAACACTAGAATCCCCCACCAGCTCCTGTTTCATAAACCCTGCATTTCCGTACCTTAGCTTGACAGGTACAAGCACCTGGGCAGCGGGGTCTGACAACTCAGCTAAGTCCAGAACGGTTTCTGCGCCATTCCCCTCTTATGTTGGATCTGTTTTCTTTTCTTTTTAGTCGGGAATAACCGAAGGATTCGATTGAAATGGCCCCCGAGTGTGTAAATGAAATATTCACGTACATGTCCCCTGGTGAACTGTCCTATCACCGTCCTTCTCACTGTCCTGCTGATCATCCCGGTAGACTCAATCCTGATTCCCGTCATCAGTTCCACGCTCCGTGGTGCATATCATATGTGACACTTGGAAACTCTCGGGAACTTCGTTGGTGGCACTGATTACCTTCTTCTTGTATAAGAAATCCGTTGTTTCTCCGTCTATCATTTCTAGCTTTGTTATGCTTTGGCCCATACTATTGTCTTCCTTTGTTCCCAACTGTTTTTTTCAGGGTTCACAGTTTACTGGATATTCTTTATTGGCCAGTCTTCCCCCGAGAGAAAGAAAAAGAAATAACCAACGGGAAGAATACCACAAAGCCACCTACACTTTATACCAGGAAGATTTAGATCATACTTCACTCTCCACATCTGCACCCTTTACCTTCCAATATCTCCATTTTCTATACCTTCTACATCAATACAATGGCCAGTTCCACCCAGTCCTTGCTGAACCTTGATCCCGAGCATATATCATGCATCGGAGGGCGGACAGTGGTTACATGCAAAGGTTGCGCAGGGAATGCCCCAAGGTATACACCAGCCCCCAATATAGCCTTTATAACTCCCAATACTAACCCGATTCCCAGAGGAGCAATCTGTCTCAGCTGCAACGGTCGCGGCTTCAACATCTTCGTCTGTGCACACTGCAACCCCGCAGCTGCAGCAGCTGCTGCCGCAGCCAGAGTAACGGCGAACCCCACAACTGCATCTGCAGAAACACCCGGATCCTCGGCACCGTCATCCCCCGGCTCTTTAAGTTGCAGCTCGTCTGGTTCGCATCCTTCACATATCGATCCAAACGTTGCTCGTTCGTACGCGAAATATGGGGGTGATCGTGATAGTACGAGCTGTGGGCGGATCGATAGCAATATGAATAAGCCACGGAATCCGTGATATATCATACTGGTTATACGTGCGAGGGTGTCTGATACAGCGAGGGCGGGATTGGATATCTCATGGCAAGTCCGACAGTTTCACGGGTGTGGCTGCCCACCGCTTGGAACTAAGCGGGGGATTACTCCCGGTAAAGAAATTAGACTGCGGCTTATAAGGATTGGAAGGAGTTTTGGGATTGGTTTCATGAGATATATGTGATTTGGTGGTCACCTGGTTGTGGCTTCGTCTTCGGGGTTTTCTTTGTCTTTGGACCTCGTTTTTATTTTCTTTATTTTGGATTCTATTTGGTTGATCTACTCGAGTTGATCCAGTATCATTTTCGTCGTTTCATGGTGAATGCACTGGATGCTACCATATCATGCACATACCCTTTCTTTGAAAGAGGCAGAGACCATGTTGTATACGAGGGACAACTTTTTTTCATTTGGCTTGCAGGGATTTCTATTTTAAAATTCAGTATCTTTATATTATGCTAGAACATATGCAAATCTACTTAGGAAGCATTTAGTTATCACAAAAGATCACAAGAAATGATCTATAACTTCCACTAGAAATATCGAAACCGCCAGCAGACATATATGTCACAGATATTCAAGGTCTATTATTGACTAGAAAACAGATACATATAAACCCTCATCCCTTCACATCTATAGGCTCGGAGTATCAGTATGAAGAGTTTCCATCACCCTATGTAGCTGGTCAGTACTCAAGGCCCTAAAAAAGAAGGAAAGTGATACTCACGCAGCAGGGTACTGAGTACCCTCAACATGAGTGTTCGACACCAGAGTACGGATCTCTTGTACTTCCTGGTCACTCAAACGAAGAACTGCAGACGCTGCATTTTCTTTCATTCTGGCAGGCGACTTGGTACCCGGGATGGGAATGATATCTGGACCTTGTGCAAGAAGCCACGCCAGAGCAACCTGTGCCGGGGTGCTCTGATGAGTACTGGCAACATTTTCCAATGCCTGCAATAGCTTCAGAATGTTTGGGAAGTTCTTCTCCGAGTACTTTGGGTACAGACGGCGTAAGTCACCTTCAGGGATGTCTGTGTAAGATCGGAACTGGCCGGTTAGGATGCCACGCCCAATAGGGCTGTAGGCCACGACAGTCACACCTAGCTCTCGACAGGTTTTCAAGATATCTGAAGATTCGATGTCCAGTGTAAAGAGACTGTACTCCATTTGCAGAGCGGAAATAGGGTGAACGGCATGTGCTCGACGTAATGTGGCTACTGAGACACCTGACAGACCGAGATAACGGATTTTTCCCTCTCTTAAGAATGCCCACGTTAAAATCCATTCCGTTATGTAATACTTGAGGTTGGGATGACCTACTTCTTGAGCTCTACCATAGCTTCGACGGTCTTTTCAATAGGTGTTACCCCATCTACCCGATGGCAATAGTAGAGGTCAATGGTGTCTACCCCGAGTCTCTGGAGGCTCTTTTCACATGCAGCCTTAACGTAGTCGGGATCTGATCGGAAAGTGTGCCCTCCGCCTGGTTTGCGCTGAAGCGCAAACTTTGTGGTCAAGAATATATCCTCTCGTTTACCAGATCGTTTGAACCATTCACCGGCGACATCCTCACAGTCGCCATAGATATCAGCCAAGTCCCAAAAGCGTAGTCCTGCAGCATGTGCATGCGATAGTAGATCTACTCTCTCATCGAGGGTACCAGCTGGTCCGTAGAATCCGCCGAGGCTCCCGAACCCGAGCCCGACAGCAGAGACTTGGGGGCCATCTTCACCTAAAGTGCGCAAGGGAGTATGCATTTTAAGGGAAGATTTGGAAAGTTCAGAAGAAAATGAAAGGATGATTGTGTCCGGAAAGGTAAGTGTTGTCTATGTAGATTTTATAGTAGATGCAGACTATAATAAGCACTATTCCCTTTTGGCTTCCCGACAATGACTTAGGACCTGGCTAAATACGAGAGTTTAAGTGCTAAGCGTATCAGCACTGTGGATACTATATTTATTGGATTTTAATTAATGCAATAGAAAGAAAGTCGGCCGCTTATACGGCTTCTGTAAGACTTAATAATCTGATCCATCTATTTGGCCTCGGATGATATTAGGGGGTTATATGTAAGAACGTATCATATCAATGTGTTATCACTCGTTCTTTTCATGAAAGGTCTTTTTTGGATGTATACAAAGGCCGTAGTATGCATAAACTATACATATGATCTTTCTATGTATAACTAAGAATATATAAGTTGCCCATAGAACTGTCATCTGTATTACCCTGTATTACACATCGCAGAACTCTTCCAAGGCTATTGTAGCATCTACGCTACAAAGTACAGGGGGTGTATAGATACACCACAGATTATGAATTATCAAGGGCCTCGTCTGAATGTTTGACTACTTGACCGTCTGACTCGGGGTTTATACGCCAATATCTACTTATCTACTCGCCTTTCATCCTTCATCCCCCATTTTCAAACCATGACAGATAATCTTGTCCGTTGAAACATGTTAATAGTGGAACATCCGCTATTATAAGTGTGCTCAGATGCTCTGGATAGAGATGAGAACGACGCTCTGCTCATATGAGGAAACGAACAAAGTGAGTCCAATCTCAGCCATACACTCTCTGAGGTTTTGCTTTATCTATCTCAAAGCCCTTTGGCCTTTTACAACAACACATCCTTCACACCTTCAACTTCTCACTGCGCTCAATTCTTTTCTGAGTCTCGTTGACTGACCTCACCTTGAGTTTTAGCATACCCGTTTCTGTTCTTACTATCCTGACCCTGTGACAACTCTTCTGTCTCAGTTGTTGCATGCTGATCAATTCTCTTTCTTCTCTCCGTATCACTGTGAGCTATCTCTCAAACCCCAACACTGTCAGTGATAAATGCAGCTTGCAGCTTGCACCTTCACATCTCTTCACTGCTCTTGTTGAAAGCACCCGACTGCCACCATGCCGAAATCTGTGAACCGCTGGTACGCTTGGTTTACCAGTCAAAGGATATGCATGAAGCCTGCCTCGGCATGTTTGGTCACAAGGTATCAAGGCAGGTCGTTGTTGTCCGCGTGCAGCACCTTCCTGGTAGTGACCCGAAAAGCTCGCCCTTCCAGCGAGATTCTCTGGAGATTCTCAACAACATGGTTTTCACAGAGGCAGTCTTGAATTCCGGATTTAGCACTACTTCCGATAGCCATCAACACAAAGGCTGGTTCCAATGTTGAACTGACATATGCGCACTGTATGTTACGTATTTCGGGCATTATCCCAGATGCTGACAGAGAGCCGGACAACAAGTATAAGTCATTCCGCAAATCGTTTGAGATGTTCCGAAATAGAATTTCTCTTGGTAGAGGGAGGCAGGTCGAATTATGTGGTGACATCGACACCCTTCTTCACACTATCCTTCAGATGGCCGATGTAATTGTTTGCACGCCCTTTACAGCTGGTCACTCCACAATTGTGGGTGCCATCAAACCAGCTGTAGTTGGAATTGACGAAGCTGCAAAATTCACGGAACCTGAAATGTGGCCAATTCTCGCCAACTACTATCCAAGTCCCATCTTGATGGTGGGCGACCACTACCAGCTAGGGCCCACGGTGACCTCGAGCTCGCAGGCGAACCCGTTTGTCTACCAACTACATTTTTCATTGTTTAAGCGCTTGATTGATGGAGAAAATGGATCGATTATGCTTGAAGTGCAGCACCGCATGCATCCAGATATTTCCAAACTCGTGAATCGGCAGTTCTACCACAACAAACTCACGGATCATGAAAGCACAAGCAACGAGACTGCTTCGTTCCTGCGTGGCTTTAACAAGAGGCGCTTTGGAGTGGAAACCAATCTCCTCTTTCTTGACATCTCTTGCAGCGAAGTCGAGATAGAAAACCACTCTAAGAAAAAAATAGAAACCATGCAGTGGCTACTATTGCCTTGTGCAAAGAATTGCTTGGCTTGAAGAGGTTTTCCCCGAGGGATATCGTCATCCTTGTGCCATATGAGGCGCAATTCCGAACCTACGTGAAGTTTCTTATACATGAGCATCAGAATGACCATTCTCTTGACCTTGACAAACTGTCTGTGAGGAAAATCGACTCCTTCCAGGGTGGAGAGAGCCCGATTGTGATCTTCGATATGACAGTCACTACCCACGCTGGATTCCTCGATGACAAAACCCGCTTGAATGTTGCGCTCAGTCGAGCCAAGAATGCTCTTTACATTGTGGGGAATATGACAGCCATGCGATCGAGCATTTGGAGCGACGAGTACCAACAGAGATACGCAACGTTGACACGAGTTCTAGACCATATTGAAGTGGCTAAGCTTTGTGTGCGAGACAAAAAACTGAATGAATCTGCTAAGAAGCAATTTTCCACGAGGGGGACCATAGCTCGTCGTTGATGGCGTGTTTGAGGGTTGCCTCCGGGTGGGGGAGTTTGTGGCTTCACTATGACATTTCCGCCAAGCAAAATTATGAACATGGATAGAATAGAATAATAGATATATTATTCTATATTTCTCTCAAATATATACAGAATAGAAAATCTTCGGATACATAAGATGTGGGGATTATGTCTACAATTCCTTTGCAGGTTTATACCCAAATACCCAAATTATTACTCCTGTCGAACTTGATCTTATACGGCACATCCCACATGTCCAAAAGCCGTACGATCCCATACTCCGCATTTAGGACACCCGACAGATATCCCCGGATTTTGACATGAAGCCAAACTGATTAATGTCTTTCCGACCTGACTGGATGCCAACACGGATAAGGAATTTCCCATCCCCACGCTTGTGGGGAAGGCTAGTCCGCACCTGTGTGGGGTCTCAGCCTGTGACTTGATATAATACCACTTGCGCAGTTCTTCTTCTCTCATTCATTTATTTCTTTATATCATTTTACACTATGGCCAATGCATTGGAAAAGCCCACAGGCGAATACCGCCAGTACCTGCCAGACCTCAGCCTCCCGCGTTTCCAGGGGATGTGCCAGCAGGATGCGCACGAGTACGCACACGAATTCAAGACCAAACATCAGCCACCCTGGCTGCATGCGCTGTATATGCATTGGTTAGAGCTACTACAGGAACCCTTCAAAGGCGTGACCACCGATGGTATGAACCAACCCAAAATAATACTAGTAGAATGCTTCTAACATATATAGGAAACGTCCGTCCGGGTCTATACACATTGCAAGAAGAAGACGTCCCAATTCAACAAATTGTAGAAGCAACAGAAGCTGTAACTGCCCTGCTGGATGATAAGCAAAAAGAAGCCATCAACTACCACATCGACTCCCCACAATGGCGCACATGGTCGAACCCCGAGTTCCTACTCGCGAACAAGGGCATTCGACTCGACGAAGTCAACACCGAGACCCGGGATGCAGTAATGAACGTCCTCAAAACAACCCTCTCACCAGAAGGCTATGAAAAAGCCGTCAGCGCAATGCGCATCAACCACTTCCTCGGCGAGCTAGTCAAGTCACCAGCAGTGATGAACGAATTCTCCTACAACTTCGTCCTCTTCGGCCGTCCATCAACCACCCGTCCCTGGGGCTGGTCATTCTACGGCCACCATCTCTGCCTAAACATCTTCCTGTACAAAGGACAGATCGTCGCATCCCCGTGGTTCACAGGCGCAGAGCCAAACGAGATCGACGCCGGCCCGCACGCCGGCACGCGCATCATGCAGATCGAGGAGAAGCTCGGGTTGCAGTTAATGCAGTCACTCTCGACGGAACTGCAGGCTTCCGCTCGTGTCTTCGTCCACATGAAAGATCCAGCTATGCCGCCCGGCCGCTGGAATAAGGATGACCAGCGCCATCTGTGCGGTGCGTACCGTGATAACCGTGAGGTGCCTTACGAGGGGATCCTCGCGTCGACTTTTAATGCCGCGCAGAAAGAGCTCATGTATGGCATCCTGGAGCAATATCTGCTTTATCTGCCGGCTAAATCGCGGGCTATGAAGATTGATCAGGTGCGCGCGCATGAAGCGGAGACGTACTTTTGTTGGATTGGAGGGTATGGTGATGAGGATCCGTTCTATTACCGTATTCAGAGTCCGGTGATTCTTGTCGAGTTTGATCACCATTCCGGTGTGTTTTTGAATAATGAGGAACCGAAGAAATTCCACATTCATACTCTGCTTCGCACGCCGAATGGAGGTGACTATGGTCAGGCGCTGCGGCCACAGATTCCGGGGGTTGAGGGATTGAATGGGAAAGAAATTGTCTGGTAGGTCGACTCAGCCTATTGGAGGGAATGTACTGTATGAGATGAATGATGAAGCTTCTTTCTACGTCACATTGCCTTTTTCTACCTATGAATCTTTAGATGGGGCTATCACTGATGGTTTTGTGTGTAAGGTCACCAAAACGATTCACGAAGATATGATTCGATCCATGATAAACTGAACTTGGCTGTAGATACACAAGCCCGCAGAAAGATATTTTATTCAAATCGTTATCCATATTAGTTGTTTGTTCCTACCATAGCCAGGAAGGATTTAAAAAAAAGTATACAGCCCCAACGCCGAAGCACGAGATCAAAAGATAGAAAAGCGTCAACAATCTGCAACAACCGAAATAGCAGAATTATGAGAAGTCGTCAAGGACCAAATGGTACCTGGGTAGGTCTCCTTCGCCTGTTTGCATAACGCGTGATTCGTTCAGGTGCCATAAATGCTACACAGGACACCATCAAGTGACCTGAAACTCATCATGATCAGGAATCAACTCATACCCACCCTCTGAAGGCAAGACCTTAGCAGCCACAATGACCGCGCCTACGCAGAAAACACTGAAGCACCAGCTAATAGTGCAAAGGATCCAGGACTGGTCAAGTTGCCAGCCGACGAAGAACCGGTCCTCGTTATCGAATAGATATGCCTGTAAGCCCAATCATTAGGACACTTCATCTTGGACCCAAATATAGGAGAATAATATCAACCCACCACTATCGACATGCCGGCTGCTTGCACAATGGCAGACAGACCAACTATCAAACTAAGGACACTCCACCCATTTTCGCGCAGCCGTTTCCCGCCACTCAAGATGACGAGGTATGTGACTATGCCTATGCCCTGCAGAACGACAGCAAAGGACATCAAGAACCCGACGGAGCGCCACATGGAGCAGAAGTACCGGTCTTCGCCATGGCAGTCTTCGCGTTGTGGGAAGCTCTCGCAGGTATCGGTGAGGGAGGAGCAGCGGCGGTGAAGGCCGTAGGAGTAATGGTTGTCGGGCTATAGATCCATGGTGTTAGTGGAAGCTTATTGGTGGGTGGGGATGAACGTTGTACCTTTTCACTATGGTAGCTGACCCATTTTGGAATGACGATGGAGGATACTGTCAAGCCAAATGCTGGGGGGGATTTTGTTAATAAATACAGATGTCTAGCTGGACGCTGAGAGATGCCTACAGGCCAGAAATATCACCAGTGTCCCGATGTAGACTATTGTCTTTGTGAGGAATCCTGTGTAGTTCCGATCGGTACCGCGAGGCACTAGGTGGAAGTCCATCGCTGCGGGGGATGCGATGGCGTGGGAGATTCACGATGCTTGGTACCAGCCCTGCACATCGAGTGTAGAGCAGTGAATAGTTTGAGAGGTCTCAATAGACCCCAAGCAAGACACAGGAAATAATGGCGCGAGCCAGGGAAGGGATGGGGAAGTACTAAACGGGGGGTGGGCTAATCGGGTCAGATAAGAGACAGCCCCGGAGGGTCACGCGGCTGGAGTTTAAGGAGTTTAAGGAGTTTAGGAAGGGAATGTGTATAAGATAACAAAAAGCGTTATATTGTTTGGTCACAATAAATCGCTCTGTGCAACATCTGAGTTGGAATGGGTTTCTTTCCCCGCAGACATTCAAGGCCAAGAGAGGCCAAGTAGGCCAAGCCGATTGACGTCAATGCGCACTGCACACCTATCGCGACATCTAATCCAATCACACCCCTGCTGCATCGAATGTATAACATATTTAGTAAATAATAATAGAAATGATTACAGTCAAATCATCAGGAAATCACTACTAAAAAAAAAAAAAAACCATATAAGATCACACAACTTTCAAGTCATCGGGGGCAATGTCTCAAGAGACAGCCCTTTGGAACAGACATCATCATTAGAACTAAGAGCAAGATACAGTCATAATGTACACGACGGCATGTGCCATAAACAATAAGAGATCATGACGCAAAAGACCGACCCGGATGAATACATGCGGATCTAAAGGAAGCATCAAGATGACCACCAGGAAACAGAAAAACGCCAGCCGAATACATGCCGTAGAAGAAGAAAAAAAAAGGAGTTGCGCCAGGAATTGTCACTGTCACTGTCACTGTCATTGCACTTGCACTTCATTCCGGACGCTTTTGTTGGAGCATAGCGCGGAAATCATCGTTGCTCTTTTTCGGTTTGCTCTCGCCGTCGGCGGTCGTGTCCATTTTGTCACTGCCCAGATTAGCGGCAGATGCGTTCTGACTGGGAGGTGCGATCTGTCGTTTCATCCCAAGGCCAGCCTTTCGACCGCCAGGCTGCTGCGGGCGTCTAATCGGCGCAGTTGGTTGTAGGTTCGTCTTCTTCGTTTTGTTTTCTTGCTTGACAGATTGCCCCGGGTCTGTTTTAACTTCTGGATGCAAAGTCATCATCTCTCGAACCGTGCCGATATGAAGGGGGCGTCCAGCAGTGATCTCCTTCCCTTCGAGCGCCAACGTAGCTTTGCCAGCGCTCTGAATGTCGACAAATTCCACAATAGCACCTTGGTGTTCTGGGCGCAAATTGATCGCGACTAAACGCCCATATGGCTCGACAAGGGCACGGATGCGGGCTTGATTGACGGTATCGGGAACGTTCATCAAAGCAATTGTGCGCTCTGCATGATCACCAACCGGCACTTCAAGGCCAGGGACGCCGTGTTCCGCCGGGTGTGCTGCAACTCTCGAGATAATGACTTGGTTTCCACGCCGAGTGTCGGTGGAAGCAATCTCAACGCGCAGAGGACGTGACATGAACACTTGATCATTCATCGCGACGGCGTCCTTGGCAGCCTCCTTAGTAGCGAAAGTAACAAAGCCGAATCCTTTACTAACACCGGTAACCTTTCGCTCGAGCAAGACCTTTTCGATTTCACCGAATTTGGAGAATAGTTCTTTCAAATCTTTTTCACTGGCATCCCAGGAAATATTGGCAACATAAATTTCTCGTCCTTCGTATCTGGGACCACTGCGGGGAAGTTTTAGTCCAGGGTCGGATATCTTAACACTGAGCCTCGTGCCATCTTCAAATCGCATTCCATGAAGCTCCGTCGCATGGTGCGCAGCACTGGGAGTATCCAACTGCAAGTAGCAGAAGCGTCTGGAAGTGTCAAACTTGAGAGACGGCATTCGAACATCGAGTACTTCGCCATACTGCTAAAGTTAGCGATGTCACAAATGCTAGGGTAAAGCACTTACCTTGCTGAAAAGGTTGCGAAGGTAGTCCTCATCTGCAGTGGGCGGGTAATTGGTGATCCAAAGTGTCGTCTTTGACCCAACTTGGACGTCGATGATGTTATCGGTGTCATTGAAGCGCTTTTGGTCACGAGTGAGAGCGGCAAGAGCATCTTCCTTGGTTTCGAACTCGATGACCGCAACCTCGGACTTCTTCTCGTCTCTACGGAGCATTTTAACAGTGTTGATAGTACCGATCTGTTTGGTCAGCTAAGTCGTACCAATAGAAATAGTGATGGGGAACTTACATGACGGAAGAATTGGCGGATTTGACGCTCAGTGGTACCTTTAGGCAAGTTCGAGGCGATAACGGTCGCATTCTCTCGATCGCGCGCAGGAGGGGCCGGAACCTCCGTCAGGACCTCTTCGTTGCGAACCTTTTTGGTTTCCGGCAGCTCGTCCTTTTCGTCTTGGCGTTTTCGCTTTTCAGGCGAAGGGACTGCCTCCACTGCGGCCTCCCACTGCTGTTGCTGTTGTTGTTGCTGCTGTTGCTGTGCTGCGGCTGCCTCTCGCGCTTCCCTCTCTCTGCGGACAGTCACGGCTCGCATTGCTTTCCGAGTCTCAATCACGGCTAGCTGGAGCTCATCTGAGTCCTCATAGTCCTCGCAATGTGTAACGTATGTCTGAACGATCTTGTCAGGCCAGTCCAGGTCTGTTCTCTTGATCGCTTGCTTGAGCACGGCAGTAGCAAAGCTTGGGTTCGGGGTTCGGCGCGCTGCGTCGACTGTTGCCTCGCCTTGCACAAATTTACTCCAGCAAATCAACTCCCATTCGTAGTAGGCGAGCCAGAATTCATAGCTACTACCACGGCGAGCCACTAAACCCTTGAAGGTCTCTCGCGCGCTGTCCCAGCTGCCGCTTTCGCTGAGGAAACGGATGTAAATTCGCTCCAGACGGAAAAGAGGGTCGCCCTGATACGCTGGGCCGTACTTCTTTTCTCCTAGTTCTTGCACGCTTTCGATTGCGGAGCGAATGCCAACTTCCGCGACATCAAGATCTTCGTCGGTTGAGTCAGACAAAAACGCGCGTCGGCGAAGGTAGCTGCACCAGGTGACGTGCACCTTCAAAACTTCTTCCAAACCACCAGCATCAAGCAGTCCAGTGCTAGTCGCTTTGTGTTTAATACTCGAAATCTTGTTGAACGACTGACTCTCTCTTTCCGAACTTAGAAGATACTGGGACCACAGGTTTCCAGACCACGGGCAATGACGCGTGGCACGGTCTAGGGTAGAGATTGTTGTGGTAGAGGCGCGGCGATGAAGAGATTCGCCGATCAAAAACATGACATAGTCTTCCCATAGCGACACATCGGTCGGGAAATGAAGAACGGCGCGTTGGTAGATGGCATTCGCCAAATCGAAGCTGAAATCTCCACGTTTCCGGCGGTTACGCGTCAATTCCCAATCAATGTACTCGGAGTAAACTGTCCATTCGAGAGTGCGATCGCCCGACTTTTGCGCTTCCGCGAGGCGGTGTTCGAATTCCTCTCGTGCGTTGTAGAGAGCCTTTGGCTCAGCTGCGCGGGCAACAGTCTCGGACATGATTTCTTCATACTTGCTGTCGCAATAAGTTGAAATGAAGCTTGAAAACTTTTGGAAAGTTTGATCCCAGGTGGCGTGGGGAGTTTGCAGGCGATGGCCGTAAAGTCCATGAAGATGGTTGATCTTTTCTTGGGAAGGTGCACGAGCAATGTCCTGAGCATAGAGATCCAGAAGGCGATCCCAGACCAAGTGGCTGTTGTTAATTCTCCATTTGGTAGCGTCTGCACCCCGCTGCCACACCTCTACGACCGACTCCCATGTGAACACCTCGCGCCCAACCATGCGATCCTCTTCGGTCCACTGCGAACTGGCTTCGCCATGAGCGGAATTGTAAAGATAAAGCACCCATTCGCCGTAGATATTCCACAGTTTTGTGCTGCCGAACTCCTCTTCGACAGATCTCTGGCAGAGTTCTAGAACAGCAATGCGCCCGTCGACATCTTGAGCTAACATACTTTCATCCTGGATCCATTCAGCCCAAAGATCTTCTCCCATGGCGAAAAGCTTGTCCATTTCTTCGCGTGCCGTTTTCAAATCGTTGAGTAGATCATAGCGTCGTGGATCACCGTGGACTTCTGGGTTATTCGGTGGGTAGACGTGGTTGACAAATCCTGCATGCAGTAATCCGATAAATTGCACGTGCGCGTCATGCGTGTGGGGGTTGAGCGAGATTTGATGAAAAAGCTCGGTCGCCGACCGTTGCGCATCCGGGTCAAGCGAAGTCGCGGCGTAGGTCCTCTTCGCGGGCCCATCGCGCCCTTCCGACATGGCGATCTCGAACGACATCCGAGAGGTAGGGGTGTTGTGGGTGATAGAATTGACGTGTGGGTGGATAGTAGATGGAGATAACTGGTGCTCATAAGATTCAGTACTCCGGAGCATGCTTGTCGGTGTTGGACGCTGTGGCTGGTGGTGCTGCATCGAGGCGAGATCCGCCAAAGTGTCCATTCCCGGTGTCGAAGCCTGTCTTGGGGGTACTTCAGTCGGAGAAGTCCCGTTCACTCCGCTAGGTCCTGGCGAAGATTCTCCAGTAGGAGCGTATACCTGCTGTGCGAGAGGCGAGGAAGTGTTGCCCTTTCGTCTAGAGCCTGTCCGAGTTCTCTCGATAGCTTTGTGGGGGGATGGCCCTGCAGAGGTGGCCGGTGCGTTGTTCGACGTAGGACCAGACACGGGCGTGGAATTTCCAGACTTAGGATTTGAGTCCGGCGAAAGAAGCGAATTGATGTCCATGTTTGGATACAGCTTTGGGAAGAACGATGGGATACCAGGAAATGTCGTAATGGATACCCAGATACTTTTCAAGCAAAGATCCAGATCATACGACAGTCTTGATGTACCTCAACACGTCCATTCCTGCATCGACCAGTCGTATCCAAATACCCCCTCGTTGTTGTTCCTGCAAATGACGTAGATTTACACTTGCGCGGCTGCTTTTGGCGGGTGGCTAAGAGTCTAAAGGAATGCCTGGAAGAAACGAGAGCGCTTTAATCGAGAGGGCAAGCTGAAATCTCAGATATCTCAGGTATTGGAAAGGGATAGAAATGACAGGCTGATGGCCTGGGAAGGGAAGGGAGGGATGAGGGAAGACGAAAAAGAGAGAGAAGAACTGAAAGAGGGAAAGATGAGGGCTAGTGGATACTGTGGAGATGGTTGAGAAGAAGAAACGATAATGTCGCGAGAATGCAATACAAAAAATGACCTTTAAAGATACGAGATCAACTCCATATGTAGATAAGTCTGTTCTTGCTCTATAGCCTCGTGCAGTCGCTAGTCGCATCTCTTGAAGCTATTCTGATCGATCAAGTTCAGGGTGCCTCAGGCTCCGGTATCCCGCACAGACCACAAGCGCAGGGAACTTTCACCTTTTTTCCCGACGTGAACTTCTGACAACAACATCCCAACAGCCACAATGCTCTATCCCTCAGGGCAATTGGTCCGGACAGGTATTTTATATTCATATATCTTATGATTGGTTTCCCTACTGACTTACTTTCCACCTTTAGCTGCCCGGACCGTCTCCTTCGTCCCTCGCCGAACATTGACCTCGACGGCTATCCGTTACGCTTTGAACGATGGCGAAAGCAAAAAGCCGACCGGTTTGTTTTCTTCCTTGAAGAACATGTTTTCGGGAGGATCCAGCCAAAAACACAAAGTCGCCCACCGACCCTCCGCCCCTAAGAAGGAAGATGGTTCAGGCACCTCCATCTTCGGATCAGACTTCACCGCACCAACAACCGGACCCACGCCATCCCGGCCAACGGGGGAACAACAAAAAGAAGCCATTTCCGGAAAGTTGGAGGACCGCGACTTGAGTCGCTTGCAAGTGGGACTGGGTCCCGACCCCAAGGCTCAGCTGCGATGGGAGAGGAAGATGGCTGTCCGCGAGGTCCGGAAACGAGGCCGCGTACCGACAAAGGTGCAAATTAAACGCACAGAGCGCGAATCACTTTCCAAATCTCACTGGATCAAGACGTCCCTGAAGAAGCTGGGTCCTCTGGCCCGCCAAATCGCCGGCAAGAATATCGACGAAGCCATCCTCCAGATGCGCTTCAGCAACAAAAAGGCCGCCAAGGACGTACTGGAACACCTGGAACACGCAAAAAACGTCGCCATTGTCCGTGCCGGCATGGGCCTTGGGGCCTCCAACTCCGAGCCATCGAAACCCATTACTGTCATACTCAAGACTGGCGAGCGACAGAAGATTGCCAACCCCACTGACATCTACATCCAAGAGGCCTGGGTCAACCGCGGTCCCTATGGATATGAGATGGATCACCGTGCCCGTGGTCAGATCAACCGTATGCGTCCCCCTACCACAAGTATCTCGGTCCTGTTGAAGGAAGAGAAGACTCGTATCCGCGAGTGGGAGGACCGTGAAGCCAAGGCCCAGCGGGAGCGCAGGTCTCAGCTCTGGACACAACTGCCGGATCGCAAGGTCTCTGCGCAGAACCAGTACTACAGTTGGTGATCAATGCTTTGGCGTTTGTATTATTTATATCTAGATCTTTCGCGTGGACAGTGGTTTTTCATTAGCCGATTGGAGGCGACAATTGCATTTGTGAGAAGTCGCTCTCATCTTTCTTGAGTAAGAGCGACTCATGTACAATACTGAATCAATTTCTTGGATATCAAACCATTGAGACCGGCTGTATACCTCTTAATATTCAAATGTTTATCAACCCAGCAGCCATTTCAGTTATATACTTGTTGCAATCCTCGAAATTGACTCCTGAATCATGCGAGCTCTACAATGTGTGTGACTCTTGCTGCGACGGGGCCCCCTTTTCCACAGAAACGAGAACGGGAATCACCGCACCAGTCGCCAAGGGAAAACGGCGATGGCCCAAGACTTCCAGAATGCTAGTGATGGCACCTGAGTGGGCCGTTAATGAAATGTATGTACTTTCATCGCGCGCAAATATATCGTTCAAAAGATTGTGAAGCCGATCGTTGCGATGCTCATTCGACTCGCGGACCTTAGGATCCCACAACATGTCTTCCTCGGGGAATCCTGCTTCAAACTTGTACTCCGGGTACTCTTCTGCGATTTCCGAAGCCGTTGAGCGACGGTCACAGGTGTGCTGACCCATCGTCTCGCGGAGGAGCTAGTTATGTTAGACCTTGTAGGTTGTATAGTAGAAATCAAACATACCTCTTTAATGGTCGGCTTAAAGGGATCCGTGTTAGGGATCGCAAGTCCCTGAAACGTAATCTGCGCCGTTTCAAGGCACCGGTTCAGGGGGCTCACGTAGTAGGACTCGGGTGACGGGATGCCATCCTTGATCTGCTGTTTCCAAGCTGAATGTGCAACTTGTGCCTGGCATCTGCCCTGTTCAGTAAGGCGGGCATCGACCCAGTTGCCGTCCTCGTCTCCGTCTTGGAGAGACCAGTAATCCTAGAGGTCTAATTAGCGTCTAGTTCGTGGAGGAAATGCTCAGCCGCTTACATCCCACTTTTTGGTTCCGTACTTGCGCTCAGCAACGTTGTGGACACCCTCGCCGTGCCGTCCAAGAAAGAGTACTTTGAACTTTTTGGTCTCGCTGGCGTTCAGGCGCTGAATGTGGGCGTCAAAGCGGCGCCACTGGCTGTCAGTCTGGTTCACTCCTAGGTGCTCATCGTAGTGTTTTTCGATGAGCCCGAAGTTTGATTTAACCTTTATAAGTCATCAGGTAATTGTTTGATGGTTTGAACAAGGATATTGGGGTCTCTTACGTAGTCGAAGGTGTCAGGGTCAGTGGCGGGGTCATCCTGGCGGAAATACCCCGTTACTGTAGTGAAGCGTAGCAGCGGAGAATCCATTGTTTTGGAGTTGAATAAAGTACGAGTGTTGGTTTGAACCGTAGAAGAACAAGGGAAAAGGGTTGGTTAGGGCGGGATGAGGGAGGTTTAGGGCTGAGGTGGTGGAGACAGCAAAAGGTGCAACCTGAATTCAAATGAGATATGTTCACTGCTGAAGTCAGTTTTGGAAATTATCCCGACACTATTTATGATCACTGGAAAGGGGAGATTCTGAGATCTTTTTTTTTTGTGTGTGTACGCACATCGGTATCCATCCATTAGGGGCTCCAAGAAGGAAGCTATGCCTACAACTACAGTAGTGGACATAGTCGGCACAGGACTCTCTGTATGAATACTCAACCCTAGTCATCTACCAATTACCGTACCTTGGGTTTATATAAAAGCGTCCGCGTCTTCACGGTATTGGTTACCACTGTTGAAACCATACATAATTGTACTTGCGTGTTCTAGATTATTACTTTGAATATACAGGGTTTGATGGATATTAAATGGAAATGAAATTGTATTTAGTCATGAGGGGCCATGGTAATGGGACAATAGATGTCACCTATGTATACCCTTTGCAATTAAGTATCGTTCAGAGCCAGCTCAGCCAATTATCAAAATTTGATGCATCGACCTGGCGAGTTGAAAACAAGCGGGTCAGTCCAGGCGCCAAGCGTTCCGCAGTCCACCCAGATATAAGCTTTTCTTTGTAGACACGATGTGTCGGCCAAACAGAGACAGACATTTGTAGGCCATGCCTTCAAGCCCGGAGGCTAGAGACATCGATGATTGCCAGACACCAGCAAATGCCAAGGCAGTACTGGAAAGCAGGCGGCCAGCACTTTCAACAACAGGCTGAACAAGTAGACATTCTCTACTGATGAGCAGTGGCCGATTCTCGGTGTTATCCCGTAATCCGTTTCCAACAAGATCTGGTGATCCACGCCGAGCCGGCGAGACCAGTAGATCCTTTGGCACAGACTGCAAGCCAGAGAGTATTGCAAGTTGCTTGGCAAGTTTTTCTGAAACTCCCCTGTGATCTGGCCTGGGTACCTGGATTCCAGAGTTGCGCACGAGCGACGTGGAATGGCGCATTCCAAGGTTGCCAGCGGCAGTACCTGGCACTACAGGAATATCCATGGTGCGGAGGGACCTTGTTCGGTGCACATTCAGATCTGAAGTGTGATGGACGCCGGTAGTTGGGCGGTTCGTCGAGGATGCCGTCTTGGCATCGACCCTCTCTGAACTTACAACACCAACCGTCGAAACGCGCCAGCGCAAGCTCGAGCTGCCAGATGGCACCCCAGCTGCGTGAACCGGTCGAGATGCGCTTGAACTGCATGGATCGTGGGGTTGTCCACTTGCTTGGTTCTTCGAGATCCTCTCTTGTGTGCAGAGTATCTCGTGTCCCGCGGATGAGTTGTTTGTGATGTTCTTGCCAGATAGGAGTATGTCGTGTCCTGCAGCCTGAGCCTTCGCAGCGCTCCTCCTCGATGGTAGAACGGCATCTTGGGACGACACATTCTTGGAACCTGGCTTGCCAGATAGTAGAATAATGTCGTGTCCCGGCGGAGTACTCTTTTGAGTATTTGTCCTGATGATATGCTTGGCGATTGGTACTGCCACAGGCAGTCCCATAGATGGGTCAATCCCAGATGGGCTGGTTGTTTGTTTCCTGATCGCCTTGATCGTTGGAAGTGCTTGGGATGAGCTGGATGATGTGTCGTGACCCGGCGAGTCCGAGTAGCGCGCCTCTTGGATTGGCACTTGGAGAATCGGCTGCCTCGGCCTTTCTTGGAATGCGGCATTCATCGGAACATCGCTAGCAGCGGCACGAGCAGCAGCCTTCTCTAGGCAGTTGCACTACTCGAACGTCAGCGTGCTCAGATGTTCAATGTGAATGTAAAACTTACTCGCTTGTGCTGCTTCTTGTGCTTCTCACAAGCACCGTATTTCCGAGCCTTGATATAGTTCTCCTTCTGTGCCTGAGAGCGAGGCTTCTGTTTCTTTGGCACATTGGCTGCGGTGTTCATATTCAAGTCGAGAACCATTTCCATGCCTCCCGGAGGGGGTGCCTCGGAGACAGATGTGTTCTCTGGGCTAGGACGCGGAGAGATGCTCCCGCTAACGTATTCTGACCAGCTTGGGGATGAGAAGCTGGTGTTGGAGTCCGAGGACATATCCAAGTCAAGGGCAGTGGCATCGCAAAGGCGCTGCAGGTGTAGCGCAATCGCTGCCTCACGGCGCTTCTCCTTGATACTAGCAACACGCGGGTCGGCAGCAGCCTGCGCCTCAACCAAGCTCCGGAATGTGTTGCTGCTGTCGTATGGGTTGTACCCCAAGAACGCAGCATCGTCGAACAAAGGAGCCGCCGGGTCTTGCATGAATCCTCCATTCATTCCCATGAACTCCTCTTGTGGGAGATCATAGCTGGTCATGTCGAAGGGGGATTGCATGAAATCAGACGGGGAGGTGAAGATTCCATCTGCCTCATAAGGCAGAGCCAGATCCTGGGGTGAGACGGTGGTGGCGGTTGACTGGTCGTCGTAGCCTGAAGGGAGATCGAGGAATTGATCGAAGTCAACCCATTCATTGAGGGTTGTAGCATCCATATCAGGGAAGAATTGATCCGCAACAAAAGCCATTGGAAAGTAAAACAAAGAGTGGGTATCACTAAGGGTATCTATTTATGAAAAGATGAGGAACACAAAGTCAAAGAGAGAGGGGGCCGTTTTAGTTAGGCCGAGGTGAGGGATCCTGAGGCAGTAGGATACTAGAAGAATAAGGAGGTCGTGGAGAAGATAAAAGGACAATAGCTGGCTTCCGGGGAAGGTAAAGAACCCAAGACCTGAGGCAACCGTTGATTCTATGTATGCTCTGTCTCTCGGAGTCCGCCATTCCTCTTCGGGGTCCCCGACTTGACGCTAATCCTCTTTGGGACCCCGACACCCCGCTCGATCGCTCTAAGCCGCAATATGACTCAAAGGACATACTCCCGGGGTACTTGTAATTCTATACGATTTACTATTGAGAGTGAGGTACCTACAAAGTATCTTTTAGTAGAAGAAAATTCCATATGCTCTTGGCCTTTTTATAACTATGTTGTAGGTAGTATAACTTCTTATATAGTGGATATTTCTATATTTCTATGATGTAAATACATTAACTTGAAAAGTTCCACTCTTTACAATGCAAAAAGATATCTTTTTCGAATTGCTCAACATTGAGAGGCTGTGTTGCACAGCCCGGCTAGGTTTGTACTAAAAGCATACACGGGGACAATATCGCCGGCACGTTATATCTACAAACCCGACATGTATAGTCTGCTTAGGATCCAAGAAAACAAGCAAAATGCATTATTATATCTCTGGGAAATGTGAAAATATGAATAATCTCGATCAATTGACTTTAAGCCACAGTCTTTAAGGGTTTTGTTGACCCACTGCGTATGACACAGCTTTTCTCGGAGCTTCGGCAAAGATTCTTTTTCTTTTTGTTTTAAAAAAAAGAAGCTTTGTTCATTAGCTCTAGTTAGGTGATCTCCTAGTCATATACTCCGTACACAGACCAACCTTTGATCTGGGATAAGATGCACTGCATGGGGGCTAATCTAAGGATATGAAAAGTAAAAAAATATATTCTGCCCTGTTGACCGACAAAGCTTGGCCAATATAGGATGTCGAGGTGACCGTCCAAAGTATTACAGTAATTGAAAAAAAAGTATAGCTTTTGATATGTAGAGATTTATGTGTTATTTATGTTATAGAAATAATAAATGTACTCCTGATATTCATGGATGTATTATATACAGTACGGAGTATTGTGGACGATGTATGGCGATGTGCCCCAGTGCCCACCCCGGGCCTTGAAGGTAGCTTAGGTAAGGTCTAGAACTCCCGCAATCCATCGAGATTCCTAAAGTTGAGAATCTTCCCTTCCCCAGATCTCATTGATCTTCAGATTTTATTATTGATAGTAACTATCCAACCTCTTCCATTTTTGGTTTCTTCACCTCTTCCGCTTACCCCTGACAAGCAAATCTACCCCTCCATCCCCCCACCGACAAACAGCTGTCCAGCTCCACTCTCGGTTCTGTTGTGGGGAGGGTCGAGACTGATCAACTGATTGGCGCCTGGCAAATGTTTCGAGAGAAAAAATAGAAAAAAGCCCCTACTTTACCACGGTCTGTACAGTCAGCAGGCCCGGACCGCTGAACCGTCTGGAAAATCAATCACGTCACGTTGTCATTCTTCCCGACCATGGCCGCTGCATTCGATGAGGAAGACCTCGCTGTCCCCCTCCCCTCCGACCGTGATCGTCCGCGTGAACGTGCTAGGACTCCCGCCTCCAACCACTCCGCCATGGCAATGCCCCCGCCCTCGAGGCCGACCGGCAAGGCCGAGGACCCATTGCAGTTGCAGTCACCATCGACTACCCGAGATATGCAACGCCTCGACCAGTACCAGACTATAAGGGTCTTAGGCGAGGGCTCCTTTGGCAAGGTAAAACTTGCCATTCACCAGCCAAGTGGACGTCAAGTGGCCCTGAAGATCATCTCACGACGCAAACTACTGTCCCGAGACATGGTTGGGCGGGTGGAGAGAGAAATCCAGTACTTGCAATTGCTACGACACCCTCACATCATTAAATTGTACAATTTACATCCAAAATTCAATTGGGGTTTCATTTGGCTGACCAATTATGTTTTAGGTATACGGTGATTGCGACCAAGTCCGATATTGTGATGGTGCTGGAGTATGCAGAGCGAGAGTTGTTCGATTATCTCGTGAGGAAGGGAAGATGCGGTGACGACGAAGCCCGGAAATTCTTCCAACAAATAATTTGTGCGGTGGAATACTGCCACCGACACAAGATTGTACACCGTGACTTGAAGCCCGAGAATCTGCTCATTGACAACCAGAAGAACGTTAAGATTGCGGATTTCGGTTTGAGTAATATTATGACAGATGGCAACTTCCTCAAGACCAGCTGCGGTAGCCCGAACTACGCGGCTCCAGAAGTCATCTCCGGAAAGCTCTACGCCGGTCCCGAGGTCGATGTATGGAGTTGTGGTGTGATTCTGTATGTGTTATTGGTAGGCCGATTGCCTTTCGATGATGACTACATCCCCGCCCTTTTCAAGAAGATTGCAGCCGGCACCTTCCACATACCTGGGTATATCTCATCCGGGGCGGCTCGTTTGATCCGGGCAATGCTCCAAGTTCACCCCGTCCACCGCATTACAATTCCTGAGATCAGGCTGGACCCATGGTTCACCAAAAATCTCCCCCAGTACCTGGAACCGCCACGAGAGGAGTTCATCGCCCCAGGGGCGGGCTCGAAGAAGGTTGATTCCGCAAAGCTTGACGCGGCAAAGCCTCCGCCAGTCCAGCACAAAATCCATCGAATTGCAGTTTCCAAGCTTGAACGAAGCATGGGGTATGGCCGAGAGGATATCGAGGAGGCATTGAGACACCCAGAGCCCAGTGCGATCAAGGATGCCTTCTCCATCGTTGTTGAGAATGAGATGATGCAAACCAATTGTAAGCATTGAAATATTTAATTCACTTACCTCTCCGCTAACGACAACAGCACCCACGGAAGATAATTTGTTAGCCCAAAATGTTCAGAAAGGAGCTGCGCCTTCATCTGCGGATCGGACTCCTGCGCCTCGTCATCAAGGATCTCCTGCCCCCGCCATGGACAGGACAGTTAGTGCATCGCGCCGGAGGGCATCGGAAGATCCACAGCAGTCAGAATCTGAGGAAGAACCCCGCGTTAGCCACGTCCGGATCCTCCCCACTAGCTTGCCATATGTCCACGACCAACTCATGGAACAACGTGATCGAGATAAAAGAGCTCGCAATGAAATGCTCGAGCAGCGTCGCCAAGAAGCCGCTCAACTTGACCCAGAGGGGCATGGATCTGCCTATCGGGACATGTCTCCCGAAGAACAGGCCGCAACGGCCCGTGCATTGAAGCCCCACGCACGTAGTGTCGTCGACTTCGACAAATTACGATTCGAACCGCCAACCGGTCAACCCCTCGAGAAACAGCCAAAGCGGAGCCGCAAATGGCAGTTTGGTATTCGATCCCGAAACCAGCCATATGAAGCCATGCTGTATCTCTACCGGGCAATTGCTGCCCAGGGTGGATTGTGGGATATTCAACCGGTGGAATCAGGTATGTCTCCACTTATACCTGTTTCGAGCTCATTCTTACACCTTGTAGGCACTAACATCGGCCCCGATGCGACTCCTTCCCCTGATAAACCCAAACCCTTGCAGAGCAAATACCCCGACCTCCCATCCGACTATTACATTCCCAAGGATCCATGGTTCATCCGTGCACGTCTGCTGAAAGAAGGCATCAAGGCCCCTGGATCCTCCACCAGTGTTTACAATAGCCGCAGCGACCTCGAAGAGATGCGCCGCCGCTTCAACATCTCGGGGATCTCTGCCCCGACAGAAGACAGGAACCGAGACCTCCAGTCCTCCGTGCCGGATAGCGGTCTCACGAGCGGGGCCTCCTCGGTTAATGGACCAAGCGGACTCCCGCACATCACATACGGTGTCTGGGTCTTCCTCGACATCCAGCTTTACCAACTCGAAGAAAACAACTACATGGTTGACTTCAAATGTGACGGCTACCAGAACGTGATCCGCGCCGAGGGCGATACCGAATGGCATCCTATCAGCAAGCGCTTCAAGAATAAGGAGAAGGAGGTGACCAGCCCTTACCCCTTCCTTGATGTGGCGTCTGATCTCGTCGCCCAGCTGGCTGTGGCAAGCTAGACCAGTCTGTTTATCTGAGAGCTGGATTTGGCTTTTGTTCATACAAAAACTACCATGATAATTATCTTACATTAATTTCTTATTCATATTGCTTGGGTGGTTGCATAGGAGCTTTTTGTTTCTGCTGCATTTTGGTGTCTTTCCAGCAAGCGAGTCGTATCGTTGTGGGTTCTATCTATATTGTACCTTACGTAGGTACGGAGTATGTGTCTGATTTCTTTTTTCTTCTTTCCCTTTCGCATGCAAATATCCGTTCAATGAACTTTTTACTGCTTCACTGAGTACATAAATACATAGGAACTGAGTCTTTTGAGACCATAAATTTATAAATGTCGTTGAAATAGCCTCAAACCGCCGAGGTCACTCCCATGGATCAACCTAACACTACCTTCCAAGGTTATGTCCAGGTGTTTATCTACCTATATTTAATCAAAACGGCCCGTTATTGACCAAGTCTCACAAGGTAATGAAATTGAATCAATCGTTTTGAGTACAGTGCTATCAACGTGTACATAGCCATATCTGCTGAATGCACTGAAACTTTTCCGTACCCTAGCACCGTGGCATATGTGTGTGTTTTGCTCTTTTTTTCTTTTTATTTCTCCAATTCTGCACCACATCTTCACAAAATCATCAGGCAGACTTGTGAAAGGTCCGTATTTGAAACACAATGAACAATCGGTTGATATTACCCCCAGCAGAACATGGTCTGGTACCAATGTAGATCAGCATCGACAGGAAACCAAATCCGAAATCATGGCGAGCAATGTCAACCCAAGTGAACGCGGGACTCCCATGAATAATATCTTTGTTCGCAAGCCACAGGAGTGGGCTGCAGATTCACGGATTTGCTTGACATGGGGAGATCACTCTGACACCCTTTTTTTTCATTTTCTTTTGGGTCTGTTTGCATAAGATGGTGCTGCATACAGCAATGCATCTTCCCTCATTTTCCACATTCTTCTGGGGGCTTCAATTGTTCTTCTACAAGTTTTTCTATCGCAGCCGCGTGCAATCGAGGAAGAGGGAACCCCCTCGAGTGTATTGTGATCGTGGCTTTTTTTCCCACTCGATTTGAAGGTTTCCATTCAATATTCCGATCACCTTGCCTGCTCACCTGTGCACTGGAACGTACTGGCCAGGAAATATTCTGTCAATAGATAACTTTTTTGGGGGGATTTCGTTTTCAATCTTTTTTTCCCTTGTTTTTGATGTGATCATTGGCTGATATGAACGGTGCATAGATTTAAGCGATAGTCAGACAACAGATCGGGGAGTAGATGGGAAGCTATTTATCACCATCCTTGCAGGGTTTCTTGACAGAATCCTGGCCAGGGACACGGTCTATGGCTTTAAGGTAGACCCGTTCGCTACGTCGTCGCTGGCTCTCAGACTGGCCACGATTTGTCCCAGCCCTGCCGATGTGAGGTTGCATTAGTGAGAGATTGGCCCCAGTCATCTCAATGGGCTCCGAGCTTTGGTCATCACGGCGCGGAGTTGTATCGTTCGTCACGGAATCGTCGTTTGTCGGCTGAGTCGATTCGGCCCGAGCATTGCTATCATGGGTATCGTTGACTTCTCCAATGATACGTCCCCCTCCAGAAATTCTCTGCTCTGGTTCATAGCCTTTGCTATCCCCTTCGTTCATGGGGCGGTTAGTGGCAGATCGCTGGCGTAGAGCGGCCTCCTTGACCCATGGCTTGAAATGAGGGAGAATCTCAACATCAGGGAAACGAACAGTGCTAGCACGCACGCGTAGGGGGTCCCGGTTGGTGGGCTTACCCACACGTCCTTTTCGGCCGTTAGAGGACGCACCCCGACGAGGGCTTCCTGGTGCACTCGGGGACTTGGGAATGTTACTGGGCTGTTGTTGAGCTCTTTCCTGGTTTCGCAGCCTGACCATGTGATCACGCACAAGTTCGATGATCTGGCGGATTTCTCGGAATGTCTTGCCGTGACCGACATGTTGGCGAAGCCAGTCCGGGACCGGGGCGATGATGGCAGTCGGATGCTTGCGGCCTGGACCTCGAGGCACGATACTCGAAGACTTGTCTTTGTCTTGGATCTGGCTGGCCGAGGGAGTGGCCTCCTTCTGACTGGATGTCTCGGTGATAGGTGCGCTTTCGGTTTCACGTCCAACACGCATTTGCTCTCGCCGGCGGAGGATGAGTTCGAAACTCTCCACTCCATCCCACCTCTCCATTCGGCTCAGAGATTCTAACAGGAGGTCACACTGTGTAAATGGCCATTGGTCTGCACGGTACCGGGCACGCTGGTAGTGCTTTCGGCAATAATGGACCCAGACGCCGAGTGGGAACAGCTTGGTAACGGCCTTGTTTCTGCCAAACACGTGGGAAACAACCTTTCGGTAGTGCATTCCATCGGGCGAGGGATGCATTCGACATGGAGCGGCAAATTCACATAGGTGATCTTCCTCGTTGTTGTCGTTGGCATCTTTGGCATCCTCTTGTTTGTTGGCCGGTTCTATGTCAGTTGCTGGGTAACCCCCCTGCACTTCTTGCTCCTGGTCGCGGGGGTATCCATACAAGTTGCCGTTATCAAGAGGGTAAGTCTGTCCAGTGGAGTCCCCTGCATGGTCTGGAGCGTGACCATGACGACCACGCTGGATGTTGCTCGGGGATAGTGTTGGGGAGGAGCTAGGCAGGCTTTGAGGGAGTAGGTTATTGATTCCGGGTGGGACATACATCTCCCGGGGATAATGATTGAATCCCATAAAAGGACTTTGTGGTAGTTCTCGGGCTCCAGGAAGGTCGGCAGGTTGAGTCTGGTATGAGGGACTTCTGCTGCGAGCCCGTGTGGTTCGCTCTAGTCTCTCCCGGTATGGGTTGGCCCAGTCTGCAGCATCCCTTAGCGCTGCTCCTCGGCTGGGATCATATACATGATACGATCTATTCGTGCTGGTGAAACGGGGACCTGGTGGCTGTGCTGTGCTGTATTGCTGGAGGGGACTGGAATCCATTGTGGCCAGAGGTATCAACGGCGAAGTAAGTGGGGGCGAGAGAAGTAACGATAGGGGTGGGTTTCCCTGGTGGATCGTTTGAGTAGGCCTGCCGGGGCTGATATTTCAATTAGCTGACATCCTCATAAAACACGATTCTCTTCACACCCGAGACGGGCTTGTATCGCAGATCCCAGCTCATGGGTAGTGAAAAAGTAAGGTGAAGGCAAAGGAATAGTAAAAAGCCGATGAAAAGGTAGGGCTCTAGATATCATATGCTTGGATGCTAGGAAGATAGCGACCCTAGGGAATATATCGTATACTTACGGCGAAACCTGTTGGTTGGTACGGGGAGCATTGCCTGGCCTAAGCTCTTTCCGTTAGCATCTCATCCCAAGACGAACGGAAAAGATGTGCACATCAACAAGTCATGGGGGAAGGATGAGCAAGGCTTAGTAGATTCGGGGGATGTTATGTGTACATACATTTTCATGTCCTCCTCTGGGAGATGGCCCCGATCACTTGGGACATCAGGGTCCTGGTCCTGCATGCTGGAAGTTATGATGCAAGAGAAGATGGGGATAATGAAAGATGGGAAAGTACGCCCTTGATAAGGACGTACCTGGGTAATGATGAATGTTGATAGCAAAGCCCGTTGGCGATGATGCACGAGCTATCTGATATCGTGGAAGGCTTCAGGTGGGCGAAAGTGGAAAGTAAAACAGTGCGAGGATAGGACAGAGGAGGAAGAGGAGTACTACAATAGGACGGGTTTTTATAAGTTTGTGGGAATTTACCTACAATGTTTATACTTGATCGAGTTCAGATGACTTTTTCCCTTTGTTGGATATTTGGATATCGCCATGCCAACATCTACAGTATGAGTTTGCGCATCCTGGGTACTATTTAGTAACCCAATAACAACGATTGCAATAGCCGAGTCTCTAGAGCCGATTTACTAAGTATGGGAAAGGTGCTTATATCCACAGAGACATGATACGAGACCTTGTAAATCCAATGGGAATCACCAGATTCTAGAAGAGTGTAAGAGTAATGAGGTTGTTGGCTCACAGCGTGACCGTCACATTTTCTTATACGACAATATGTGAAGAGACAACCACCGATGGCCACCTAGATAGAGCTAGTGGAGTGGAATAAAACCCACTGGAAAAAGTGGGAGATCAGGAACCCTTATATAGGTAACGCTGAGGACTAATGTTAGACCACCGAGCAACTACATCAATGAACTTGTCAAACCTAGTCTCAAATCTATGGAGGCACCCATCTGGTAAGAGCCAAGGTGTCACTTCAAGGTATCATTGCTTATTCTTGTTATGTGTACATCCAAAAAGCTATATCCCCCGTAAATCAAATCCATAACGCCATCTTTGCCGGATATCACAGTCTGAAACCAAAAGCTGAAAAGAATTGGGGAAATATGCCTACCAAGGGTCCAAAATAAACATAGCAGTACATGAGTCATCCATAAATGTAAAAGGAAAATCGTTTTACCTGGCATAGCCTATCGACGCTGGTTGCCTTGGTACGTACTTTCGAACGGCTCCCCGGCCAGGGCTGCACGCCGTAGAGCCAATGTCAATCGTACTTAGCTCTCGACTCAGAGCATCCATGCGGCCATTTCCATTTGCATTGCCAGACATGACGGGGTAGCTTGGACTTCCTCCGGTGATTGGCACCTTGTTTGGAATCGGGGGACCTGGGTTGTAGTCATACAGTGGTGTACGAGACCCCGGAGAGGGCGAGACAGAGCCTCGGGAAGAGCGCGGCCGCTCAGTCGAAGTGGGGGCGTTATAGGCCCGACTTCGCGTATAGCTATCAGAGCGCTCACGCGCGTAGTCCGGGCGAGGTGGTGTTCGAACCATTGCCCCTGGACTGACGTGCACATGGGTAGGTGTGTATTGAACTGGGCGATCGGAGGGGTAGGACGTCGTCTCTGTTCTGAATCCAACGCGTGGCGGGCCTGTGCTGCGTGATGAGGGTGCGTCATTTCCTCTAGAAGTTGGCCGAGGCGAGTGTTTGAAGCGGATGATAACTTCTGGCTTGCGGTTCTTCCTCTCTGGCTCAGGCGCCCATGTCTCGGTGGGAAGATGGTCAGAGGGGTCAATCTCACGACCATCATCCCCGATGATTGGGTGATCTACGTCTCGATGAGGCTCGGTCTTTCCGCGTATCACGGCATCTCTAGCTTGCGAAGGCGAGTCGTATGCCGGAGAAGGATCTCGGCTGGGAGTGTGAGAGGCATTTGGATTTAGGGAGATGTAAGAGTCCGGAGAGAAAGGGATTGAGGGGCCACTGCGGACGTCTGAAGAAGAAGGTCGCGGACTGACTGACTTCCGGGTCACAGCCCGCATATTAGGGCTAACAGATCCACCTCTGCTAGAAGTAGGTCTTTGTTCAATAGGCCGGGGCGATGTTCGCAGGGGATAGACAGGAGCATCGTAGTGAGCAGGTGCGGATACAGGAATTGGTGCAGGTGGCTGGGAAATCATCATCTCATCGTCCCAGTGGGTACTGCGTCTGTTGACTGATCTTTCGAGTGCTGCTTTCTCAGCTGGGTCTTCCGCTTCATATCCTGCGACAAGACTTGCGGGCATTGCTGGGGAGTTTCCCATTGAAGAGGGCTCCTGATAGCGATCGCGGTGGGACGGAGTAGACATGCTCGATGGCAGGTGGGAGACTGAGGATCGAGCAGTAGATTGGGGTATGTAGGGTGCGTAGGGGGCGGGGCGACGTTTTCGGTGTGGGCAGCTGAGAGTGCGGCCTTTGTGAGCGGTGTGCCGGTGGAGGAGGGGGTGGTCCATCGTCATCTTCATCCTCTACTCGTGGTTGCATTCCGGCATACTCTGGGTGGTAATCATGGCCATGAGCAGTGATTTGTAGAGGCCGAACTCTGTGTGGATGGTACCTCGGGTCATCCACTGGCCCTAAAGAGGAAGGCACAAAGTCTGAAGCTGGCACCTCGTGTGTATGCGTTGCCCCATATGACATGGAATCTGGATCGTATCTAGGTTGCTCTATTTGATACAGACTTTGACGTGTAGAATTGTATGGCACTTCCTGATGGGGATCTGCCTCATAATGGTTTTGCCTGGAGAGGCGATAGTCTCTCGAAGGTGGCTGATCATACTCCGGATGATTCCGCAGTTGTTGCTGCTGCTGTTGTAGTTGTAGTTGCTCCAGTTTCTGTTGCTCCAGTTGTTGCTGCTCCAGTTGTTGTTGTTGTTGCAAAAGTTGTTGCTGTTGGAGTTCCTGTTGCCGCTGCAGTTCTTGTTGCCGCTGGAGTTCTTGTTGCCGCTGCAGTTCTTGTTGCCGCTGGAGTTCCTGTTGCCGTTGGAGTTCCTGTTGCCGTTGGAGTTCTTGTTGCCGCTGGAGTTCTTGTTGCCGCTGGAGTTCCTGTTGCCGTTGGAGTTCTTGTTGCTGTTGTAGTTCTTGTTGCCGCTGCAGTTCTTGTTCATGCTGCTGTTGCAGTAGACGCGAGTCATATGGCGTATCAATAACTTCATTGGAGGCATAAGGCAATTCATGGGTAGTTTGTCGGCGGAGAGGAGCAACAACTGCAGTGTCCCATTCTTGAGTGTAGTTATCGGCACCATCATACCCGCCCCGAGATGGAGGTGGGACAGGAGAAGGTGCGCGATAGGCTGATGCATCGTATACAGGCTCTGAATGTCTTGGGGCATAGGAGGTGGTGTCTGGAGCACCAGATAGGGTGTTTGAATGTTCAGGAAGGGCGGGTCTCGACGGGGCCGGGTGGTGAAGTGGAGGCGCAGAGTGAGCTTGTTCCAGAGGGGCTGGTCTTGGTGGAGCCCCTGCAGGGCCGCTGGGCAAGGGTCGTCGTTTGACATCTTTCAATTGTCGAGGACCAGATAAACCTGTGTTGCTCGGAGTACTAGGGACTTTGCCTTGGACCCGGTCAGCGGCTTCTTGTCGGCGTCCAATCAGAACCTCGTCTTGTTCTCTGGTATCGTAGTAAGTCATTTCCATTCGGATCTCTCCTGCATATTTCCCACGGTATTGAAGTGGGTGCCAGTGATCATTCTGGCTACCGCCTGGGATGATCAAGCTTTGTAAATCGATCCAGGTCTCGCCGATCAAGTCGGTCTTCTTATCGTCATTAAACACAGAGACCTTTAGCTTGAAGTAATCGGGGGATTCATGTACGGTAAATCGAAGTTCCGAGTCCCTAGGCAAGTAAGCTACAATTTCCACATCTATCAGGCTAAAAGCTTACCATCGCGGCGTTTGCCCTCCTCGCAAGTCTGTTTGTGTCTTCTTTGCTTCTTTGCCCAATCTTGCTGCAGCATAGGGATTCTGTTTGCCCATAGTCTTCCGGTTGGGTAGATTCTTGGCTCGATCGATGATAGCGACCAAGGTACCGATAATGGGGCCATCGACGGAGATGTCAGCGAAGATGCCCGCCGCATGGTTAACCTTGGAAACCTTCGACATTGTCCAGGATTCTAATCACTGGAAATATTGGATATAAACGGAAATTATCATTGACGCCAATGTCTAGGGAGAGGGGAAGAAGAAAAGAGAAAAGATACCTCTTTGGAATGTCCGAAGTGGGTATTGGAGGTGGCTGGGGTTGTATCAGATCTTGTCAATTGATTGGTTGTTACCCCTGGCGGTGTCTGGACGGTGATGTACCATACCATGGATACACAAACCTTGCATTCAAGTAAACAAAGGACTTTACTACTTACATAGTATGGCATTTCAACCTTGAAAGACTGCTATATACATATATAATGTATTATCATCCTCATCTACTCTGTATAGTGTACTATATTGCACTAGATTGCATGATACTAAGGTATCTCTACCCAACTCCAGTCAGGTATTCCACATGCAGTGGATCTCCGTCAGCTCGATCGGATCCCCAGCCACCACAAAATTCAGAAATTGCCTCATTTCCTAGTGGAACACTGCGAAAAATGCCGACCATTGCGCGGTCCAGACAAGATCGTCATCCCTCTATACTCCGGACTCCATAGTCTTGCTTGTGAATCCGGTTTCAGCTGCATTGGGGCTTCAATAAGCTGTCAAGCCGTCGCGGCTCCCCCACCTTTAGGGTTAGGGAGCTGCACCACGATGGATCTCCGTCCCCCCCCACTGGATTGCCATAGCGACCACTCACAGTCCAAATCATCCTGTGTACAATGTGAGTCGGATTATAGGTGTATGCTCTTTCCTGTTAATACTGCATGTCATACATTGGCAATATTATTGAGACTGTCTTGTTCTCCTGTCCTGCACACATTATCCCTACTGACTCTAGATGCTTTTATGATTAACGATGTTGCCTGCCTCACTGCCTCAGTGGGTTCGCTGGGCAATCAATCCCCGCCAGGGTTACTATTATTAATATTACCAGATACCAGATGGTTAGAAATGTGGAAGCCTACAATGTACAACGTATATCCATCGGATTTCGGATTTATCTTTAGACGGGTCAATTGATGGGTAACGTTAGGCTTACAGAGTACTTGAGGGAAGATCTCTCGAGGCTGATCGACCATGATCAAGGTGACATATAGCAGCAAGCATCAACACCGTGTACAGAATATATTACCCGAGAATTGAATATGTCACCTTTACGGAGTAAATTGGGAATATTATGCAGATAGTCGGCCGGTGAAAGTTAAATAGCTCAGGGTATGGTTCTTGTAGCCTCATGGAAATCAGAGGCAGAGAGCTTGCAATGGCTCACTCACATCCGAGGGAAATATCTTGCAAAATCATTCATACTTGGTGCGGGGGCTGATCTAGGCGCTGGGCTGTTGTTAGCCTGTCGCATACCTTTGATGCACCTGTGGACGGGCAAAATCAAATGTGCCAACGATGCCCGGTGCATAGTGCCAAGAGCTTAGTTTCTGCCTTGTTGCCTCAGGCTCAAAGTCGGAACCTGATGCCCCAGGCAGCAAGAGCTACCGCCACCTTTCCCGATTGGGCGAGACGAACTTTTTTGATCGGCAGAAAAAAAGATGGTCTTCATGAACTTCACGATAGCACTCTAGTCGGCCTAACTTTACCACCCATTGCTCATCCCGGGCTACCTACCTAACTAATACCCCCCCGAACAACTACTGTCTATCCACCACTGCAACCATGGCGGCGCCCGTCCTGCCTCTGCAGCAGGTCAAGCTCGCCTCGTTACCCTCGACGCAGTTAACGCCCGAGCAACAATACTGGCGAACATTCAAAAACCCGCTCCTGATCCCGTCTCCGGCCAATGGACCGGTCAATCTCATCACTCAGCCTTCCGTCCCTTCCTCTGCCGCAGCATTCCCCTCTCTTACACAACCTCCCGATGTCTTCACCGTGACAACGGGCGCACGAGTCCAGATCTATTCGATTCGCACGCGGAAACTTCTGCGAACACTCACACGATTTGACGATACCGTACGCGGTACTGATGTTCGTCCGGATGGACGTGTCTTGGTGACAGGTGACGACACCGGTTCTGTGCAAGTTTTCGATGTCAAATCACGCGCCATCCTCAAGACATGGAAGGACCACAAGCAGCCCGTGTGGGTGACCAAGTTCTCTCCCAGCGACCCTACTTCGGTTCTCACAGCCAGTGATGATCGCACAGTGCGCCTTTGGGACTTGGCATCGCAAACTAGTTCGCGCACTTTTGTCGGTCACAGCGATTACGTGCGCAGTGGTGCATTCATGCCTGGTTCGATGGCTTCTTCCGGTCTGGTGGTTTCGGGTTCTTACGATCGTACTGTTCGCCTGTGGGATCCCCGAGTTGGAAACCGCGCCGCTATGACGTTCAAGATGGGTGCACCGATCGAGACCGTTCTGCCCATGCCCGCCGGAACTACAGTCTTGGCCGCGGCCGATAACAAGATTGCGGTACTGGATATAGTGGCTGGCAAGCCGCTGCACATGATCCAGAGCCACCAAAAGACTGTCACTGCCCTTGCGCTGGCCTCCAACGGTGAGCGATTGCTCAGTGGTGCGCTCGATGGACACATGAAGGTCTTTGAGACCACTGGGTGGAACCCCGTTTCCGGATCCAAATACCCGTCGCCCATTCTCTCTCTGCGCGCGATTACTTCCGGACCCGAATATGAGGATAAGCACATTGCTGTCGGTATGCAGTCGGGTCTTCTGTCTATCAAGACCCGGCTGTCTGGTCAGCAGAAGATCAAGGAGCGGGAACGCCGGAAGGAAATGGCAGCTTTGCTAGAGGGCAAATTGGAGGAGCACGACCGGGAACTCGCTAAGAAGAAGAAGGCCCGTGGCTCTGGGTGGGAAAAGCGTCTGCGTGGACGCGATTTCATCGGAGAAGGTGTGGAGATTGTCATTGAGGGCCAGGACCGCAAGAAGCGGAAGAGAGAGCAGCCTTGGGAGAACGATCTTCGTAAGGCACGCTACTCTGTTGCGTTGGACCAGGTCCTCACCTCGGCGGACAAGACTGCGCAACTTACACTGCTCACGGCCCTGCGCCACCGCTCTGCCCTCCGTGCATCTCTAAAGGACCGCGATGAGGTTACCCTCCAACCTGTCCTGCAGTGGGTTCACAAGAACATCCGTGAACCCCGTCTGGTCGATCTCAGCGTCGAGGTCGCGATGAACCTTCTCGATATCTACTCTGGAAACCTGGGTCAATCCGCACAGATTGACAAGATGGTGGAGCGCCTGCACCGCCGGGTACGTGATGAAGTGGAGATGGCCCAACAGGCGTGGCAAACGAAGGGAATGCTTGACATGTTGAAGGCAACCTGATCTGACGGCCTTGAATCGCAACTTGGAGTTCGGGGTGTCTGGGATTCGCACACTTGGTGTATATGGCGGGCCATCTTTTGTACAGGATTTGCATAAAGAATAAAAGTCGAACTATTTACCATTATTGACCGTAACATCATTCATTTGTATTATGACTGTGTATCAAGCATTCAACTTTGAGAACCCACTGGCAGGCGGCTGCAACCAATTCCGTGCATCATACTCCCACCCCTCCGCACCCTCGATAACATGGAAGGTATAGGCATACCGACTATTCGGGCTGGTATTCTTCTCGCTCTTATGCAAAACATTCCCATGAATGAGCACAAGGGATCCAGCCTTGATATCAAGAATCTCCAGATCGTCATCTGTAGCCTCCGAAATCTTCTCCTCCTCCATGCCTTTGGGGAGTGAAGGTCCCCGATTCTCAATAAATTCCGTACCCGCACCATTCTCCTTCCTCACAAACCTCCTAGCAATGTGACCACCTTTACTTCCTGTGTGCGACCCCTTGTACATACCCAGCGTCCCATTCGCCGGTCCCGCATCCTGCAGCGCATACCACCATCCTACGGCAGAGGGCGGGTCCGTATATAAAAACTCCGAATCGCGATGGGACGGCACAGCCCCACCAATGGAGGGTTGCTTGCAGATAACCATACTCTGCAGCACGCGAGGATCAGCGAATCCCAGGGATTGCGCGACGGCAGCGTTCCGCTCGTTAAGTGATATGGCCTTGAATGGAGGCGACAAGGTATGCAGCGAATGACCGATCTTGTTGACGGCGCGGTTTTTGGGCTTCAGTAGCGCGGCGCGGCCGGTCAATGGATCCGGCTCAGTGCTGAACGCGTCTGGCTCAAAGAAGAAGCGGATCTTGTCGCCTGAGTCCAGGAAGTAGTCGTCGCCTACATGTTCGACGGTTTCGTCGCCCGTTGTAAACTGGGTGAGGGGGTGAGATTCTAGTGGGAACTCCTCGAGGAGTTTGTTTGTTTCGGCAAGGAGAGCGGAGACCTCGGTTGGGGTGAGGTAGTCCGGGAGAACGAGGTATCCGTTCTCCTTGAAGGAGGCGACTTGAGCTTCGGTAAGTCCAGCCATGAGGTGCTTTATGTTCCAAAGTTGAAGATGAGTTGGTTTTGATGTTGAAAAGCGGGGGAGAGGTGATAAGCCATTTTGATACGGCCAGTACCTTATCTAGGGCTTCATCCGTGCGCCCCGCGTCTATGGACAACGACTACATGATCAATATATGCTTCGTTTCCCCGGCTCAGTACTTGTGGGGCATCTCCAGACCCCTCGGTGACACCGATGGGTCTTTGCCTCTTCCATAGAGGTTAGTTGCCGCAGGAGGCAATGATGCAAGAGGCAAGTAAAGCTTGCCACAGGATAAGACAAGACAAAACTATATAAACATATCGGAATTGAGCAGGTTGGGCTTCGAAAGCAATCAATACAACTTGTACAGTGCCGATACCAACATTATACACAGAGAAGCTTCTGCAAGCAAACCAACATCAAGAGATCTTCCCCAAGGTTTAGTATCAACCTTCCTTTACCCAACTAAACAAACTCAATTGCAAAATCATTCCAAGTGGACCAGATCAATATTTTCCTTTCTCACATCCCACCGAGCGCGACCGTTCACCACGATGTCCGACTCTTTCACAAGTTCCTCGTACTACTACAGTTCCACAACCAACGGCAGCGACGGC